GTTGCGCTACTTGTGCAGTACATCGGGCATGGGGCTAGTGCTTGGAGGGCGTAGTCCACTGGTCCTCGCTGGTCACGCAGACGCGTCTTGAGTTGACGACTTGGCTACGCAGCGGTCGTCACAGGGTTACACCTTCAGCCTTGGTTCCGGTTCTGTTTCGTGGCGGTCTACCCGCTCTTCTTCTGTTCTCAGCTCCAGCTGTGAGGCTGAGATCTACGCGAGGGCCATGGTTGCACAGTAGTTACGCTGGCTCACCTACCTGCTGACTGACCTCGGAGAGCCGCCTCGTTCTCCTCCAGTTCTGTACGTAGACAACAAGGCCATGCTGGCCTTGTGTCGGGAGCACAGACTGGAGCACAGAACGAAGCACATTGCTCTTCGCTACTTCCTTGCTCGTGAGCTACAGCAGCGTGGTCAGCTACGACTTGCTTACGTGGCCTCTCAGGCCAACACTGCTGATATCTTCACCAAGGCACTGATCATCAGCGCTTCTGTACTTTGTTAGGTCTTGTACATACTTTGCCTCACTTGCTCACTTCTTGACCTTGCTTGTACTGTGACCTATATATACTTGCACTTGCATGTTTAGTTTTATATATATATGCTTGCATGTGAACTGGCCTTGTGGCCCTTGAACTTGTGCTCAGAATGTGTAGTGACGTTGGGATCCACCCTGAGGTTGTTGTGCTTTGCCTGACTAGTCTTGTGACCCCTTGTTCTCCTCCACTTTGCTTATGGGGGTGTGTCAAACTTATATGCTTTAATCTTTCTAGGCTGTAGTGAGGTAGACAGTATGGGGTACAGCTTTCTAGGGTTTCATATTTGTACCCAACTCATTTCCTAGTTCATTATTCATTCCTCATTTCTTCACACGAAACATCCCAACATGTTATATGAGTGCAACACGATAGTGGGAGAGCGCATTCTCTATGAGGTAATACGTTACTACTGCCGTGCCTTAGGAGCGCTACATAATATGTCGGTTATTCAAGAACACACAAACATGAACACACAAACAATCAAGTGATCAAACGGGCACGCACATACGACCTCTAGTCCTATAAAATATATGAATGATGTCAGAGGTCCACTGGTGATCCCCGATTGATCCTAGGGAAGGGTTACAGGCACGTTGGCCTGGGGGGTTATGGGCGCACTGACCCGCTACTTAAATAAGCTCTTTTATCCCAATGGTCTAGTGGTTGGGATTCTGACATGGTATCAGAGCGAAGGTCTCGGGTTCGAATCCCGGTGTATGCACTCCGGGCATCCCAGTGCGGGGGGATGTCAGAGGTCCACCGGTGATCCCCGATTGATCCTAAGGAAGGGTTACAGGCACGTTGGCCTGGGGGGTTATGAGCGCACTGACCCGCTACTTAAACAAGCCCTTTTATCCCAATGGTCTACTGGTTGGGATTCTGACAAATAAATCGGGATCGTTCAAAAGGCTCGAAAAGAGGAGCTTCGAATGAAAGAAGCAAAAACCCCAAAAATGATAAATCTTAAATACGTATTATGTTTTCTTTTAAATCACGTATTGTGAAAACACACCTGCTTGTAACGTAGGTTTTGGCATCATGAAGTGTGCTAGACACTCTTCTCCAACTATAAATCATGGTTGGAACTTGGAACTCATTTTCCTCCACACACATCTTTCATTTTCCAGTGGCTCGTGCACCTCTCTAACCCCCCGTCCAACACCAATCATAACTATATTGCTGCTTGAACATGATAAGTTGAGCTAATATATCGTATACCCCCGGATAAAAGCCCCTTCTTTCTGGTTTTCGATTTGTTGTGGAAGGGGGAGGGGGGAGGGGGGGGTGGTGGTTTTCGAAAATTCTTCTTATCGCCCTATGGCTTATTGAAGAAAATATTTGTGCCACATCATGGGAAAAATGTCGAGAGTAATAGGAATAACTAGTTAGAAGGTGGGGCCTAGGCTTAGTAGCCTAGGCCCGAACTTAGGTATCGAGCGGGATTTTCCCTAGGAGCGATGTATCGAGTGAGTTGAGAGAAATTGGTGAAAAGGTTGGTTTCACTATAGGTTCAGGAGTACATATAGCATAGAAACACAATAAGGTGCACCACCAACAAAAGTTTACATAACTACACTAACTACAACTACAAGCAATTATAAAACATGACAAAATATTTCGACACGCCCCCATAATGCTTGTAGGTAGGTATGTAGTTACAGCAACAGCAGGTACCCCTTCCATCTCCTCACCCTCCTCCTTCCCCTCCCCCACACTGCTGCAGAAGCAGCAGAGAAGGGGGGAAGAGAGGAGAGGTGGAGGGACGGCTGCTTGTTGCCTCACACCCGCCACCCCGGTACCACTCCCCCTCCTCACCCACATCCTCACACCCTCCCCCCCCAGCGGCAGCTGCAGCGGTGGGGACTGAAAGAAGGAGGAGGGAAAGGGAGAGAGTTGACCCCACGCTCCAACACCCTCCACCCCCATACCCTCCTCCCCACGGCTGCAGGGAGACAAGAGAAAGGGGGGGGTGGGAAGGAAGAAAGCCGCAGAGCGGCGAAGAGGCGTCGGTGCAGATGGGTCAGGGGCGGCAGCAGGGAGTGCAGGGGCGGAAAGGCCCGTCGCGGGCCAGTGCCACGGGGCGCACGACGGGTAGAATAAAAGGGCCCGATCGTGTGCCTCGGGGCACACGACGAGCAGGGCACCATCGTGTGCCACGGGGCGCACGATGGGCAGTAGAAGGGCACCGTCGCGTGCCACGGGGCGCGCGACGGGCAGGGAAGGAGTCACACGCCCGTGGGCGGGACAAGGTAAAAATAAAACCGTCACGCGCCCTAGGCGCGCGACCGTAAAATCTTAGCAGCGGAAGTAAAGCGGGCCCACAGGCCAGGACGAACACTAAGCTCCGATAACATGTCGAGAGTAATAGGAATAACTAGTTAGAAGGTGGGGCCTAGGCTTAGTAGCCTAGGCCCGAACTTAGGTATCGAGCGGGATTTTCCCTAGGAGCGATGTATCGAGTGAGTTGAGAGAAATTGGTGAAAAGGTTGGTTTCACTATAGGTTCAGGGGTACATATAGCATAGAAACACAATAAGGTGCACCACCAACAAAAGTTTACATAACTACACTAACTACAACTACAAGCAATTATAAAACATGACAAAATATTTCGACAAAAAAATCACACGTCTGACACGGATTGGGTATCGGTTTGTAAATATCCTTATCGCCTTTTGCTTATGTTAAGCCCCGGGGCGGAAAAAAATTGCGGAGATTTATGCACGGAGAAATACGGTAATACCTTGTACACGCGCTTGTTTTTATAGTTCGACTACTTGCTGTAATTTGCCAATTGAAATTAGGACGATGGCAATTAACGAGGAGAAGAAAGTGTTGACGGCTATTTGGGACCTATAGGCTCTATACACACCTCACCGTTTTCTTTCACCGTTGGCGAATATGCGGTAGGTTGCCGTGCAAACTACATATTGCCCTCAACAAAAAGCACTCGTTTTGCTATGAGAACCCGCCTGATTGTTTTAAACATCCACTAGAAGAGGTGTGTTATTATTAGCATGTTTTTTTCAATATATAGTTGAAAGTTGATTTGTTATGTTCCATTTTGGGTGTACAGTTTGCAACCAAGTTGGATGTTTGAAAAGGGGTTGGAGATTGGCCACACAACTTGCGCCACATGGCATCTCACAAATTGTAACATAGCATTGGTGACCCACAAAGCACTCTCCAACACTCATGTCTTTCTCATATATAAACCACAACTTCCTTTCCCCAACCATCCGCAACACTTTAGGATTTATACATTGTAGTTAATCCGCCTTTTTTACCTCCGCTAGCATTCCTATCTACATTCATTAAGCTGTAGCGTTACCAGCAATAGACTAGGAAGTTAGTGACAATATAAGCAACAAGATCTAGGCGTTGAGCATAGAGATACTAGTTCATCCACGGAGCGCACCCCGGCTGAGATGAGTTGATCAGCGAGTTATAGGTTTGAAAGTCTCGGTTAGAACAGGACCATGCAGGAAGGTGCTCTCGTAGACAAAAGGGTTTGATCGAGGAGATGGAGCGAATGTCTGCTAACGTGCTGTTTGCAATGGAGGAAGAGAGATGGTTATGAACATCAAACACCCAACATGTCTAAGGGTATTGACAACTGGAAGGGAAAGTCCAAGACAAGTTGGGTATGTCCCACCCCCAACAGCGGACCCTGATAGTGTGAGCCCGTAACTAGCATAGCAGACTAACGGCTGGTCATGCCTCTGCGTGTTTCCGTCTACCTTGCAGGGCTGCGTGCCGCGGCTCCGTTCCCGTTTCCCGTCAAGTATATACGGCATCGTATAAGTCGAAGTATTCTGCCAGCAGCAGCAGCAGCATTTCGACAGATCAGCTTGCGCGACGCGGGTCGCTCGAGGAGGTCGCTGAGCCTGCATGGATCCTACCAACGTTGCAGGCGACATCTACGGTGCGTCGCACACGTCCTCTCCGCCGTCCGTCGCATACTTCCCCTCCGTCGCTCAGGCCGCGTCGCTCTCCGTAGGCTGGCCTACCCGACCTGGTTTCCCGGGTCGCCAGGGATTTCATTTCCAGACCTTAGAGATGCGCGAGGTTTGGGATTGCGGTGTACTGACCAAGCTCACACTACACGGTGTTTCTGCCGTCTGGCGGAACGTTAGTCGCACGCTGCTGATGTGCATGATGAACGGGACGAGAAGCGCAGCATTCAGTGAACGAGTCGTCGTTAGAATCCCCCTGAGTTCTTTGAACGAGCCGCCTGTCTTCGTCGCACGCTCATGCGACAGACTCCTCTCAGTCCCGTGGTCGTGCGACAGAATCCTCTCGTCGTACTCTTATGCGACAGAATCCTCTCGTCGCACTCTTACGCGACAGAATCCTCTCGTCGCGCTTTCATGCTACAGAATCTCCTTGTCGCACGCTCATCTGGCAGAATCCTCTGGTCTCCTCTTCTTTCGGCCTTCACTGACCGACGCATTTCCGGTAGATGAGGCCTAGACGCATCGTTACAGATCCACCCGTTTGGCCCACCCATGCGACCCACCCGTGCGACCCACCCGTGCGACCCAACCGTGCGACGCAACCGTGCGATCCACCCGTTCGACCCACCCGTTCGACCCACCCATTTTGCGGCTCACCCGTGCGACTCACCCGTGCGACCCACCCGAGCCAGCGCGTTCTAGCCTCGTCTCTTTTCCAATTAAGAGCGTCGTTTCTCTGTTCGCCTCGCCTCCGCATCTCGCGGGCCAGCTTGCGCTAAATCAGCGGCGCGGCTGACAGCTGGTCGACCAGCCAGTTCAGCGCACGGTCAGCTGCCTTTTTAAGAATTCTCGGAGACAGCTGGTCGACCAGCCAGTTCCGCGCACAGTCAGCTGCCTGCTGTCGACCGCCGACCGGTGACGGCGCAACTTCGGGCGCACCGTCATCATTTCGCGCGCCTTTTTGCCGCAAAAGAAGGGCTCTGCGTGCACGCAGAGCCCATTCGCCTGAAGCAGAGGACTTGTGAAGCAGAGGGCTCGCGTCGCGACCTGTTGAAGACGGAGAAGAGATCGCATTTGGACCGTAGTGTTTCAGGGGCTTGAGAATGGAGCAACCAGTGCAGAAGTGCCTCCGTCTGCTTGCTCCAGTGAGGGGATTGGAGTGCGGACTACTGCGAGCAGCCAAGCAATGGAAAAAAATGAGGAGAGCCCGAGGTGGTGAGCACAGTACCGCTCTACAACTCCGTCAGGGAGATTGTTGCGTGTGTATGGACCCCTCGACATCTCTTGACCGTTGATCTGAACCGTCCTTCCTCACACCCCCTCAATCTCCACACACGAGCAGACATGGACCCCGGAGAGCCCGAGGTGGTGAGCACAGTGCCGCTTTACAACTTTGACGGCAAGACTGTTGCGTTGCGTGTGTGTATCCCCTTACAACTCCTGAGTGTTAATACCAACCCTCCTTTCCTCACACCCCCCTGCCTCTGCCCCCTTCGTCCCATCCACCCAATCCGTGCATGATGAGCAGACATGGACCCCGGAGAGCCCGAGGTGGTGAGCACAGTACCGCTCTACAACTTTGACGGCAAGATCATCTGCAACCTCGCGGCTGACACGTGGCCTCTTGACATCAGGTCAGTGCCTGGCTGACACGTGGCATCTTGCTTTCCCTGCCCCCTCTTGTGCACCTCCGCTCTGCCCTGCCCACTCCCTCCCACGTTCCGTCCGTATCCACCCGGCCTTGTGCATCTCATACGTGCTGTCTTGTGCGTCATGTGCCTGTATCGAGGTGACTTTTGAGTCGACTCAAAAGTCACCCTGTGCATCTCATACGTGCTGTCTTGTGCCCCGTGTGCCTGTATCTCTTCTACTCACAGCGACGAGACGTGGGTGCTGCTGCTGCCGAAGCTGACCGTGGAGCTGCCATCGCAGCCCTCCCTGCCACGTCCCCTTCACGCAGTGCATCTTTCACGTGCGTGCCTGCATCCCGTCTCGTCCTTCCCTTCCCCTGCATCCCTTCTCCTCTCAGGGACGAGACGTGGGTGCTGCTGCCGAAGCTGACCCCGCGAGTGGAGCTGCCTTCGCTGCCCTCCCTGCCGCACTTCCGAGTGTACCCCGAGCGCAGCTCCTCCTCTGTGGACGTCAACAATTGGGAGCAGCTCGTGCACGTGCTCAGGACACATGGACGGGTGCGTGGGTGGGTGGGTGGGTGGGTGTGTGTGTGCACGCGCGCACGTGTGTGTGTGTGTGGTTGAGGAAAGAAGGGGTTGAGTCACTTCCGAGTGTACCCCGAGAGGAGCTCCTCCTCTGTGGACGTCAACAACTGGGAGCAGCTCGTGCACATGCTCAGGTCACATGGCAGGGTAAGTGGGTGGGTGGGTGTGTGTGCACGCGCACACGTGTGTCTGTGGTTCAGGGGATAGGTACACGTGTGCCGTGGTTGAATCACTTCCGAGTGTACCCTGAGAGGAGCTCCTCGTCTTTGGATGTCAACAACTGGGAGCAGCTTGTTCATGTGCTCAGGGCGCATGGCAGGGTGGGTGGGTGTGTGTTAGAAGGAGTAGGGTAGCTCGTTGTTTACACCTTTGAGAATTCTCAATAGTGATTTCGAGTTAGAAGGAGTAGGGTAGCTCATTGTTTACACCGCAGATGCCAAGCCCGTCCCCTCCTCCCCAACCCCTCTCCCCTTTCCTTCCACCCAGCCTCTCTCTCCCCCCTCGTCCACAATCAACACCCCTCGCCTGTTTAGTCCTTATTCCTTATCTTTTATCATTTTTTCCTCCTCCCCTTCCTCCCATCCCATCAGGTGGGGCTCATCACATCAGCGCAAGGGCAGTACCAGTCCGGCCTCCTCCCCATCGCCACCCCATGCACCTCCATCTCAACCCACCCTCCTCCACTTCGACTGTCCCTCAAGCCCCCTCTTTTCTGTCTTCCCTCCCTTTTTTTCCTCTTTTCCCCTGCTCCTCCTGCCCCCGTTTATCGCCCGTCAGGTGGGGCTCATAACATCAGCGAGAGGCCAGTACCAGTTCGGCCTGCTCCCCATCGCCACCCCTTCCGCCACCACCTCTACCTCCCCTCTCCCACCCCCTCCCGCCTTCTCCGCCCCTCCACACCCCTCTCCAACTCTCCCCACCGGTTTCTCCTCTGCCCGGGCGTACTACGCGCCGCTGCCAGCTGGCATCCCCCGCCGCGCCCCCGCGCTTCCCTGCGGTGCTCCCGGGGCTGCTGCCGCCGCAGCAATCAAGACCTGCGCACACGGCACCTGGACAGATGGCACCTGGTCAGATGGCACCTGGTCAGATGGCACCTGGTCAGATGGCACCTGGTCAGCAGCACAGTCAGGTGCTCCAGAGACAGGCGCATTCTCAGATGGCACCTGGACAGATGGCACCTGGACAGGTGCTACATGGACAGGCGCATTCTCAGGTGGCACCTGGACAGGCACAAGCTCAGGTGGCAAACGGTCAGGCGCATCTAGGACAGGTGCCACCTGGGCAGGCACACTCGCACGTGCCATCAGCTCCGCCCCCTACTCGAGCAGCCTCACCACGTTCAGTTGCACAGGGTCAGGGGCAAGGGCATGGGCAGGGGCAGCAGATTCAGCAGGGGCAGCAGCAGGGACAAGTGTGGGCAGGGTCGCAGGTGCAACTAGGGCGGGTTCCACCTGGGTTTGAGCCCGAACCACAGGTGTCTTCTGCATCTGTGCAGCAACCCCAACCACAGGAAGCACTACCGCCACAGCCACTACCGCCACCACACCAGCAGCAGCAGCAGCAGCAGCAGCAGCAGCAGCAGCAGCAGCAGCAGCAGCAGCAGCAGCAGCAGCAACAACAGCAGCAACAGTGGCGGCAGCAGCACGGTCACACTCCAGCAGGGCATGGCTCGCCTCGTGCTCCTGGCTCACCAGGCGGCTGGTCCTCCTCCCACCCTCCTCCTCCCCCACACGCCCGTGGTGCTTCCCCCACCCCAAGAGCGCAGAGCCTTCCGGGCCTCACTGCTGCAGGATCTTTCTCCTCTCGCACTGCTGCCTCCGCCCCTGCCGCTCCAGTATCCACGTCAGCACCTCCATTGTCCACGTCAGCATCTCCAGTATCCACGTCAACACCTCCATTGTCCACGTCAGCATGTGCAACCCCCACATCAGCATTCTCTTTCAAAGGTGCACTTCCTCCTCCTCCCACGCTTCCACCCCCTCCTCCCCACCCTCCTTTAGCTCCTGCTCCTGCTCCTCCTCCTCCTCTTCCATCTGCTTCCCCAATGGCCCCTCCACCTGCTCGCCCCTCTCCCCCGCCGCCTCCCCCTTCCCTTCCCCCTACCCGTGCGCCTGGGCCCGGCATGCATCCGCAGTACCTGGCGTCCCTGGCGCACACGCACCAGCAGTGGGTGTTTGGGGGCCTGGCGGAGCTCATTGATAACTCCATGGACGCCAAGGCACGCAGGTAGGGACGGGGGTTGTGACACACACACACACACTCACACGCACACACACTCACTCACACACATACACTCACACACACACACTCACACATGCACGCACCAGCAGTGGGTGTTTGGGGGCCTGGCGGAGCTGATTGATGACTCCATGGACGCCAAGGCACGCAGGTAGGGGCAGCACTTTCACACTCACACACGCATGCACGTACGCGCGACACACGCAACGCACACGCACTCCCATCATGGCACAGACGCACTCCCATCATGGCACAGACGCACTCGCACCAGCTGTGGTTGTTCGGGGGCCTGGCGGAGCTGATAAACAACTCCATGGACGCCAAGGCACGCAGGTACGAAGCAACGCAGCACTTTCTCCCTGGCATGGGTGAGGCTGGGCTGGGGTGATGCACCCACCCACACACACACACCCGTGCATCCACTCCCATCATGTCATGGCACTGGTGCACACGCAGTGGGTGTTCGGGGGCCTGGCAGAGTTTATGGGGATTTTCATCACCATGGCCAAACTTCGGTAGTGGCAGCAGCAGCAGTAGTTGGACCTTGGTTTTCGTGTAGCCCCAAGTTCTGTGTTTTGTTGTGTGTGTATGTGCCCTGCCCTTGGGAATCCCCCACGTCTCTTTCAACGCAGGCTGGACATTGTCATCAGCATGGCCAAGCTCCCTCCAAGAGCAGCCGCGGCTTTTGAGGCGCCTCAAAACTTGCCATTGTACTTCGTTCGTACACGTCCCTCCCTCCATGCAGGCTGGACATCTTCATCAGCACGGCCAAGCTCCCCCCAAGAGCAGCCGCGGCTTTTGAGGCGCCTCAAAACTTGCCATTGTACTTCGCTCGTACACGTCCCTCCCTCCATGCAGGCTGGACATCTTCATCAGCACGGCCAAGCTCCCCCCAAGAGCAGCCGCGGCTTTTGAGGCGCCTCAAAACTTGCCATTGTACTTCGTTCGTACACGTCCCTCCCTTCATGCAGGCTGGACATTTTCATCAGCACGGCCAAGCTCCCCCCAAGAGCAGCCGCGGCATTTGAGGCGCCTCAAAACTTGCCATTGTACTTCGCTCGTACACGTCCCTCCCTCCATGCAGGCTGGACATTTTCATCAGCACGGCCAAGCTCCCCCCAAGAGCATCCGCGGCAGCAGCAGCAGCAACAGCAGTCCCCGCAGCATCACCCTCAGCCGCAGCACCGTTACCCTCCTCCTCCTTCACTCGCCCCTCCTCCGCCGCTGTGTCAAGTGAGGCGGTGCCAGTGCTGCACGTGTGTGACGATGGCAAGGGCATGGACCACGGCGAGTTGGTTCAGATGCTGTCGCTGGGCCATGACATTCCAACAGAGGAGGACCCCCACCACATCGGCCGATTTGGTGTCGGCTTTAAGGTGCGCTGCGTTGCACTCATTGCATTGCAGGCAGCCCCCCAACTGTTTGAGTCGACTCAACGGTCACCTTGCTGTCGCTGGGCCATGACATCCCCGCAGAGGAGGACCCCCACCACATCGGCCGATTCGGCGTCGGCTTCAAGGTGCGCTGCACCGCGCTGCACTTCTTCCACACTCGCTCCATCAAAGGACAGGCAGCAGCTCGATATTCTCTTATCTTTTTTATTGATTCTTACAACAAGCCCCATCCTCACCTCACTTCACCTAATACTGTCTTTCTCTGTCGTTCTTTTCTCCGCTCAACCCCTTTTTTCCAACAAGAAACACCAGACGGGCACGATGCGCATAGGAAACGATGCACTGGTGCTGACCCAGTCAAGCGACAGCCGCAGCATCGCGCTCCATCCCTGCTCAACCGGGGCCGGCCGACAGGAGCTGCAGACCCTTGTCGTGACTCTCGTTCCCTCATTCCTCTCGTGACTCTCGTTCCCTCATTCCTTCCGTCCACCTCCCGTCCTCACCACCACCAGACGGGCACCATGCGCATAGGCAACGACGCCTTGGTGCTGGCCCTGTCAAGGGACAGCTGCAGCATCGCTCTGCTCTCCCGCTCGCTCAACCATGGCCGGCAGGAGCTGAAGATCCCCATTGTGACTCTCACAACCCCTGTTCAAAACCCGAAATGCACTCTCTCTCCTCTCTCCCTTCTCTCTTTCCCTCTCTATTTCCCTCTGTTCCCTTCTTTCCTCCCACCCTCACCACCAGACGGGCACCATGCGCATAGGAAACGATGCCTTGGTACTAACCCAGTCAACAGACAGCCGCAGCATTGCGCTGCTCTCCCGCTCGCTCAACCAGGGCCGGCAGGAGCTGGAGATCCCCATCGTGACGTACAAGCAGGTGGTATCTGGGGGAGGTGCATCTGCAGCAGGGGGAGGTGGATCTGCAGGGGGAGGTGGATCTGCAGCAGGGGGAGGTGGATCTGTAGGGGGAGGTGGGACTGCTGAGTGGCAGCTGGACCTGGGGGTGCATTCAGAGGAGGAGGCGGAGAGGCGCAAGCGAGCAATCTTTGACTTCTCGCCTCTGGACGAGAGAAAGATAAACCAGGAGTTCCGCAAGTGAGTGTTTTTTTCGAATTCGCACGTGAGTGGGTGAGGCCACCACTGCTGCACACGGCCCACTCACCCACACACAGGCACAACCCCCACTGGCACATGCATCTATGTGTTCAACCCTGTACTCTGAGCCTGTTCTTCTCTCTCCTCACTTCCCTCACAGGCTGGAGCAAGCATGTGTTACTAGTGACTCACCCCCCACGGGCACACGCATCTACGTGTTCAACCTCAAGCGCCTGTCCCGCCCCATCTGTGAACAGTATCTCAGTCATGGCGCCTGTCATGGCTTTTACCCCTTCCCAGTATCTCACTACGGTGCTCACCAGTCATGGCTTCCACTGCTTCCCACCCCCTCTTCCCCCCCACTTCCATCCCCTCAGGTTGGAGCAAGCAAGAAGCAGCAGTGACGCCCCCCCCACGGGCACGCGCATCTACGTGTTCAACCTGAAGCGCCTGTCCCGCCCCATATGCTCACAGCGACCCAGTCTTGCTCCCGCTTCCCGCAATCCCCCCCGCAGGTTGGAGCAGGCAAACGGTTCTAGAGACTCCCCCCACACGGGCACGCGCATCGATTTGTTCAACCTGAAGCGCCTGTCCTGCCCAGCTTCTCTGTTACGGCTTCTATGTCCCACCGCTCTCCCGCAGGCTGGAGCTCTCGAGTGGGACCAGTGACTCCCCCCCCACGGGCACGCGCATCTACGTGTTCAACCTCAAGCGCCTGTCGCGTCCAGATGCAGCGTACGAGCTCGAGTGGGACGACGACGCCCACGACATCCTCATCCGCACCCGGCGCCCCCGCTCCCGCCCCAACCAGCTCTGCCAAGACGTGAGTAGATAGCCCACCTCTCCCTCTAACTCTAACTAGTTCTCCCGTCTCCCCCTGTCGAAGTACCCACTGACTGCTCTGCTCCTTGCGCGCTTCTCCCTGCATGTTGGTTCCCTACAGCCCTTGAACCGTCCCCCCTTGTCTCTTCTCGCCCCATCCACCAGCTCCTCCTCCTCCACCATTGAGGCGCCTCAAGAGTCGTCTCAGTTCACGCGGATTTTTTTAGGCGCCTCGAAAGTCGTCTTGCCTCATCCACCAGCTCCTCCTCCACCTCCTCTTCTAACCCTCTCTCCTCCATCTCGCTGCAATGCAGTTTCGAGCGGGCATATCCCCCCCAGTGCCTGTTTCACCCACTCGCCCGCCACCATCACAGTGCAAAGCCACGCAGTGCAGGGCAGATATTTCCCCAGTGAGGCAATGCAGGATCCTGTCGCCAGTCGCCACCCCACTATCTCCCTTCCCCCTTCCCCTTTCGCTGCCTCACAGGTGCCGACAGGCTACTCCCTGCGCACCAACTTGCGTTGATGGTGCTTTTGAGAATTCTCAAAAGTACCATCAACGTAGCTGACAGGTGCTGATAGACTACTCCCCGCGCGCCAACATGCGAGTCATGTTTTTCCACAACCCAACCTTCTGCCCTTACCTTTCCCTGCCCGTTCTCTACCTTTCCCACCAGGTGCCCATCGACTACTCCCTGCTATTTGGGAATCACTTTTGAGAATTCTCAAAAGTGCCTCACAGGTGCCCATAGACTACTCCCTGCGCGCCAACATGCGAGTCATGTTTTTCCACAACCCAACCTTCTGCCCTTACCTTTCCCTGCCCGTTCTCTACCTTTCCCACCAGGTGCCCATCGACTACTCCCTGCTATTTGGGAATCACTTTTGAGAATTCTCAAAAATGCCTTACAGGTGCCCATAGACTACTCCCTGCGCGCCAACGTGCGGGTCATGTTTCTTCACAACCCTGCCTCCATCACAGTGCAAGGCCGTGGGGAGCGGTCACATCTCCAGTGCCCCTCTCACCCACTCTCCACCCTTGTATCCCCCTTCCCCCTTGCCTTCCCCTCCCCCCTTCCCCTTCCCCTTCCCCTTCCGCTTCCCCTTCCCCTTCCCCCTTCCCCTTCCCCTTCCCCCCCCCTTCCCAATTGGCCTCTCCGCTTCCCTTTCCCACCTGCGAGTGATGTTTCTCCACAACAGCGCCACCATCACCGTGCAAGGCCGTGTGGAGCGAACATATCTCCAGTGCCTGTCTATACCCCCCTTCCCCTTACTCTCTTCCCTTCCCTTCCCACTTGAACTCCCCCTCAACCCCTCCCTCCCCCCCCCCCCCACAACTCCCCTTCCCTGCAGGTACCAATAGACTACTCCCTACGAGCCTACCTGCGAGTCATGTTTCTGCACAACCCCGCCACCATCTCAGTGCAAGGCCGCGCCGTGCAAGGCAGCGCTGACATCGCGGAGAACCTCTCCCAACCGTTCTCCACCACGGGGACCGTCATGGGGCAGCCGGTGCAAGTGCGGATGGGCATGGACGAAGGCGAGAGGGCGTGTGGGCGTTGCGGGTTCTTCCTGTACTGGCACGGGCGGTTAATTGAAGCTTATAAGCGGGTCGGACGGATGGAATACTCGGGAGATGCTGGGCTGGGGGTGGTTGGCGTTGTCGATACCACCGCTCTCTTTGTGAGTACCTTACCGCACATCCGTGCAAGGTTGAGGTTGTGCAAAACACAGGTGAAGGGTCTTGGAAGGCTGAACGCATGCGAGAGGGCGTGTGGGCGGTGCGGGTTCTTCCTGTACTGGCACGGGCGGCTCATCGAGGCGTATAAGCGCGTCGGACGGATGGAGTATTCGGGGGATGCCGGGCTGGGCGTGGTGGGCGTGGTCGATACCACCGCTCTCTTTGTGAGTACTGTGTGCAACCTGCCTGCTGTGCAAGCATGTGGCCCTTCTCCCTACTAGGAAGCCCCTCATTGCACCCCCTTCAACCGCGTCACACACCTCGTCATGTTCTGCTCTGCAGGATGCATGCACCAGTTAAGCTGGGGCATGCTGAACTGCAATCGCCAATACGAGCTCCCCCTTGTACCCCTCTCAACCACGTCACACTCCTCTTGACCTTCTTCCCTGCAGGATGTAGCCGGAGAGCTGGGGGTGCTGAACTGCAAGCAGCGGTTTGCAGAGGGAGAGGAGTATCAACGGCTCAAAGACTTCCTGTCTGTCACCTTCAACCAGTACTGGGAGGACAACTTTGATAAAGACCTCCCCACTGTGAGTTTTTGTTCTTCTTCTTCTTCTTTTCTTTCCCCATGTGGTGAGTGGTGGAGTGAAGTGGGAGTATCAGCGGCTCAAGGCCTTCCTGTCTGTCACTTTCAACCAGTACTGAGAGGACGACTTCGACAGAGACCTCCCCACTGTGAGTCGTCTTCGTTGTGTGTGTGTACGTGTGTGCGTGCGCGTGTGCGTGTACGTGTGCGTGCGTGTGTGCGTGCACATGTGCGTGGGCGTGTGCGTGCGCGTGTGTATGAAGTATATTAAGCCACCCAGTGGTGAGCAGCAGCAGCAGGGGCAGTGCTGCAGGATCAAAAGGAATGGGTGCAGTGCGATTGCAGCAGCAGCAGGGCCAGTACGATTGCAGCTTGACTCTTGATTCTTGTCTGTCCTCCATCCTCCCTTCTCTTCTCCTTCCCTGTTCCCCTTTCTCTCCCAGTGAGAAAGGGCGAGGCCAGATCTCTTTCTCGCTCTCCTCGTCCCTTCTGTTTGTTCAGGCGAACATACCAGAGGGGGCAATCCTGCGGGACCAAAAGGAATGGGTGCAGTGCGATAAGTGCGAGCAGTGGCAGTGAGACTTGTCTCCGCTCTCTTGTCCCTCTTCCTCCTCCCTTCCGTTTGTTCAGGCGAACATCCCAGAGGGGACAATCCTGCAGGACCACAAAGAGTGCGAGAAGTGCGAGCAATGACAGGGGGACTGCAGCTTGACGCTTTCTTTCTTGTCCTTCCTTTCTCCTCTCCTTCTCCTCCCTTACTCTTGTTCAGGCGAACATACCAGAGGGGGCAATCCTGCAGGACCACAAAGAGTGGGTGCAATGCGAGAAGTGCGAGCAGTGGCACATTCTGCCGCCCCATGTCACCATGGAGTCGCTGCCAGTGAACTGGTATGAGCGGTGCTGAAGGGTGCTGAGGGGTGCTGATGGATGATGTGGGGTGCTGTGGGATGATGCTGGGTGCTGAGGGGTGATGTGGGTTGGTATTGTTAGTTTTAAAGAGCGGTTGTGGCTGCGCGCAGTGCCAGCACTTGGTATTCTTCCACCCCATGCGGACTGAAGGATGCTTCACGGGAGTCTCTTTTGAAAATTCTCAAAAGTGACTCCCATAAAAAGTGTGTGTCGCTGTGCACAGTGTTAGCACATGGGATTATTCCCCCCCATCTGTCCGAGCTCTCTTCTGAAATCTTTCTTTTGAGAATCGCTTTTGCGAATACTCAGAACCAGCTGGCACATGGTATTTGACCACTCCACCCCATGTGGTCTTGAAAATGCTGCCAGAGAGAGACCTGGTAGGAGGGAAGGTGATGATGGGATGGGAGGAAGGGTGCAATGTGTGCTTGCTCTCTCTCTCTGCCTGCCATTGAATGCATGCCTCTTGTTGACTTCTGTTGACTCCTGTTGTCTCTTGTTAACTATTCTTCCCATGTTCTGCTACATGGATTCCATATGATACGAGGGACGTGCTGACAGCCGTTTACCTATATACATCCTCTTTTCTTGACTCTGGTTCAATCCTGTTGACTCTTGTAACTTACTTCCCAGGTTTTGCTACATGGACCCTATACGAGGCAAGTGCAACGACCCCAATTATGTTGAACCAGCTCCTAACGAGGTCACCCTTGGGATCTCCAGACACTACAATGACTTCCCTGGTGCTGCTGCTGGCGGTGCTGGTGCTGGCGGTGCTGGTGCCGCTGCTTCTGCTGCTGCTTCTGCTGCTGGTGCTGCTGGTGCCGCCGCGGGTGCTGCTGCCGGTGCTGCTGCAGGCGCTGCTGCTACGCTGGATGCTGGTGGGCGCACCTTGACTGGTGCTGCTTCAGATGCTGACAGCAACTGCGTCCCTGTTACGCCTAGAAGCAGTGCTGCAGCAAGAGGCACAGCAGGAGCTGCAGCAGATGGAAGAACGGGAGAAACGGCAGGAGCAGCAGGAGCGTCAAGAAGGTCAGGAGAAACAGCAGCAGAGGGAGCAGCAGGAGGAGGAGCAGGAGCAGGCAGAGCAGGAGCGGCTGCTGCGGCAGCAGGAAGAGGAGGAGGTGAAGCAGGAGAAGCAGGAGGTGGGCTCAGAATGAAGCCACCAATGGGAAAGCAGAAAGCTGTTGCTCGGAAGTCCTCACCTGCTGCTGAAGCAAAGGGCAAAGGGACGAGTTCTGAGGGCCCTAAAAAAACATTTGCTGTCAAGTCTTCCCCTGCCGCTGCAGCCAAGGGCAAAGGGACGACGAGCGAGGGTAAACGAGTGAGCGAGAGGGAGAGAGGGAGAGCGAGTGAGCAGAGGGTGAACGAAGGGAGGAGAGAGGGTGAGGGGGCGGGTGCTGCCATGAGCCGAAGAATAGGTGAAGGTGCACATGGTCCTGTTGCTGGGCCAAGCAGGGTTGAACCTAGTTTTGAGTCGACTCAAAAAACGGGTGCTGCCATGAGTCGAAGAATGGGTGAAGGTGCATATGGTCCTGCTGCTGGGCCAAGCAGGGTTGGAGCTAGAGAGGCGAGTGGGGGAGTGGGGGCAGGGGGGGCAGGGGAGGGACGAGGGGGAGGGGTCGGGGAGCAAGGGGGAGCAAGATTGGGGAGAGGAAGTGGGCTGGGAGGAGCCGGGGCAGCAGGTTTGGATGAGAGCAAGAAGAGGAAGCTGGGAGGGGGCAGTGGCATGGCAGGTGGCAGTGGTGTGCCTGAGAGGGGTGGGACAGGTGGCAGTAGCACACATGTGAGGGTGAAGGAAGAACCTGGGGAGCATGTGGGAGCAGTAGTGGGGGTAGAGAGACATGATAGGACAGGCAGGGAGCATGGCGAGAGGAGACACGAGGGACTGGAGCGTGAGCGATCAGGGCTAGGAGTGGAGCGACGGGGAGCAGGGCATGCAAATCGGGGAGAAGAGCGGCCAGATAGCGGACTAAGAAGAGGCGGGGAAAGACACGATAATGCAGGAACTGGCGCAGGAGTGGAGAGGAGGGATAGCAGGGTAGGGGGTAGGGTGGAGAGGAGTGGAGCAGGGTCATCCTCAGCATTGCAGCATGCTATTGCTGCTGCCGCTGCTGGTCCTTCTGGTGATCGAAGAATTGCTGCTTCTGCCACTGCTGCTGCTGCTGCTGCAGAGAGGGAGGAGGGGGAGGAGGTGGACAGCAGTGAAGAGAGTGAGGAAGATGTGGTGACGTGGCATCACCGGCCGGCAAAGAGACGTGCGATCATGGATGATGATGATGATGAACTTGAGGATGGAGAGGTGTGACATCCTAGTTGTGTTGTTTGTACTGTAGCAATGATGGTTATGTAGATGTTTCTTCTTTAGGAGTTGGTCTGTTGTATGTAATCATTCAAACCTGAAGCTTTGCTTATCACAACTGGTTATATCAATGTAAAGAATGTGAGGGAAGAGGGAACATGCAAAAGATGCAATTACAAGAAGCACGTTGCTTCTATGTTTATGCTATTTCACTTGTCAAAAGGCTTCAACTACGCTGATTACAACGGAGTCTTCCACATTCGAAACCGTGCTGGCTGTAGGCTGTGTGGAGATCCCAGAGCAGTGGAGAATATTCGGACGAGTTAGATTCAGCCAGGTGGCAATCATGTAGTCCATAGACGGTTCGATTATGGGCGACTGCAAAGCAGGTGCAGCAGGTCGTCGTTTTCATCGCCTTTTCGAGAGATTTACTGTAGAACCATGTTTGATGATTCCTTTTTACTCGCGTGGCTTCAAATTACTCGAGTGGCCACCAGAATTGGTAAAAATTACTCGAGTGGTCACGCCAGGGGATTCCCGCACGCTTGTTTTTTCCGGCACATTACCCTACGGGGGTTTGTAGCCCCGAAAGTTTTGAAATGATTATTGCGCGATTTTCATTATCCGAAATTTATGTTCGTGACATTATATGACCGCGCCTGATTGGACGCGCATTGCCAAGAAAGGCAAAAAGCGTGCGGGAATCCCCTGGCGTGGCCACTCGAGTAATTATCACCAAACTTGGTGGCCACTCGAGTAACTCAAAGCCACGCGAGCAGGGACGAATCACCGAACAGGGTTCTGGAGAAATTCTCTCCGTCTTTCCACTCTCGTGCGACGCGTGCGGAATAGAGTTGCGACTTGACCAGCCGTTTTATTGGCTGGGCGGAAGGCTAGCCTGCAGTCTTCCGCCTATCCAATCGGCGCAGGCCGTAGTAGACACGAGAACAACCCACCACCACTGGCTCGTTCAGTCACGGCAACTCAATGAGAACAGAAACTAGAGCGGTAAAGTACGATTCCTCACTTTTCCGTGGCTGACATCAGTATACAGTAAGGTTCCGCCAACCTTGTTACGGTTCTGCCATGTTCCCCGCACCCTTTTCTCCCCAACCCGACAGACACCCACTTCCCCCCGTCGCATTGCGCAATGCATGGCTCTCCCGCCTTGTATCCAACGGGATTGCCTTCTGCATGCTCTGAGATTGTGAGTAGAATATCTGTTCAGCCATTTCCCATTCCTCCAGAACTTTAGCCCATAATCGTCGATTCTCGCTTGCGATTTCCAGCAAATCACTGACGACTGGTGCTGTGAATACACGGCGTAGATTCTTCCTCGGAACGTTCGCCCGTTTTAGACTCCGAGCGACGCTCGCTCAATCCTCTTGAGTGAAATTCCGGCTTCCACCTTCTGTCGGTTCCTGAAGTTTCTTCGAACGCAGCGTATTCTGGCTGACGCTTTCCCCGAGTTCTACTGGATCGTGAAGGATTTCTTCGCCGCTTTTAATCGACGTCCCTTGTTCCGCAAATTCTCCAGTACCTGCTGGTTGAATCTTTTAGCATTGAACGGAAGTCAGTGGCGGCGCGATGGCGGAGAATGAGTGGCTATCGGGTTATTTGGACGCGATTCTAGAGCGCGGAGGCGCGCCGATGGACACTGACAAGAAGGAACGGCTGGATCTATCGGAGATCAAGGGTCAGAGCGGCACAGCCGTCCGATACTTTGTGAATGAGATCAAGGATTCGAGCGAGGAGGAATTGCATCGCACGTGGATGAAGGTATCGCACATGAGCGATGGAAGTGTCGCACAAGAGCGGTGAAGATGTCGCACATGTTTAATGGAAGCGTCGCGACTCGAAATTGTCGCACGCGGATATGTGTCTCGCATGGGTGAACACATCGCATATGTAGGCATGCACTTGAGGGCGTGTCGCACACAATCGTTTTGCACAATGTCTTAATGCGTTCTTTGCTTTGATCCGTGATCTGCACAGGCGACAGCGATGAGCGACGAAAAAGGGTCCCGAATGGAGAATTTCACGTGGCGAATCTGGCACCTGTCACGGAAAAAGAAGCAGGTATGCAGCGCATACCGACTGTAATGTTTAGGTATTTGTTGGGAAACAAAGAATAATCATAGAATGCGTCTTCTAACCTGGAAAAGCATCTTCGTGTCATCGCTGTTTTGTCTTTCTGGCACTTCGTAGCCTTGCGATTCCCCACATCTTTCCTTAATCTCCTGATTTCTTACATCAGCCAGTATTCTTTTATGCCCCCCAATCATCTCCCTTTTACACCAGCCAGTATCCCAAACCCCCCCACCTCCAAACCTTCCCAAATTCTCCCCCAACAATGCCCGAAATCTATAACGATCTCTGCCTTCCATGGCGCTTCTTGCCTCAGTTGGAGCAGGAAGCTTCGCGGATAGAGGAGGAGCAGCAGCAGCACGACAAGGAGGAGGCTGAGCTGGACATAGAGGAGGAAGAGGACACCCCCGACTCCACCCTCCCGGACTCCCTCTCTCTGCTTCATGAGGACAGAGCCAACACCGATTCGTATTCCCCTCACTCTCTCCAAGAACATGTCCTTCTCAAATTCCTTTTCCTCCGGGACCTTCTGCCGCCCGTGCAGTTGGAGCAGGAAGCGTCGCGGATCAAGGAGCAGCAGCAGCACGACAAGGAGGAGGCTGAGCTAGACATAGAGGAGGAGGACGGCCCTGATGACGACGCCCTCCCGGACGCTTTATCCGGTGCTGACGTGGCTGCTGACGTGGACAAGGCCGGGGATGACCTGCTGGATTCCAGTGCCAACGTGGCAGCAGCTCAGGCTGCGGCAGCAAAGGCTGCAGCGGAGAAGGAGTCCCGGGGGAGGAGGGAGAACCAGCAGCAGGGGGAGAGGCAGAGGGAGGTGCCTGCTGGTGCAGGGTTGACTGCTGAGGCGCCTGGGAGGGACCCGCTTGAGCATGGCACGGAGAAGAGGCTCTATATTGTCATGATCAGGTGAGCCTTGGGATTGCCGTGACTGGGTGAGCTTTGGGGTTGCCGTGACTAGGTGAGTGTATGGGTTTTTTAACCAGATGGGTTGCTGAGGCGCTCGGGAGGGATCCGCTTGAGCATGGCACGGAGAAGAGGCTCTATATTGTCATGATCAGGTGAGCCTTGGGATTGCCGTGGCTAGGTGAACCTTGGGATTGCCATGATCAGGTTAGCCTTGAGAATGGCATGATTTGGCAGGCCTTGGAATTGTCGTGATCGGGTGAGCCTTGGGATTGTCATGATCAGGTGAGCCTTGGCATTTTCATGATCAGGTGAGCCTTGGCATTGTCTTGATCAGATGAGCCTTGGGATTGTCGTGATCAGATAAGCCTTGGGATTGTCGTGATCAGATGACCCTTGGGATTGTCATGATCAGGTGAGCATTGGCATTGTCATGATCAGATGAGCCTTGGGATTGTCGTGATTCGATGAGCCTTGGGATTGTCATGATCATGTGAGGCTTGGGATTGTCACGATCATTGTCATGACAAATGTTACAAGTGCTTCGCCACACGAACAGACGAGGTACATCCACACCTCACCAGCAACCACATAGAAGGATCATTGCTTGCAATCGCAACGAAACGAAGGTGCGGGTGCAAATCAATGAAGTTTTCTTGCATGCGTTCATTCGATCAACGCATTGTGCATGCGCATGCGCGTTGTGTTCGTTTCCCTGCTGCCCCATGCAGCATCCATGGGTTGGTGCGTGGAGAGAACATGGAGCTGGGCCGAGACTCGGACACGGGCGGCCAGGTATGCAACTGTCCCGTGTGCTGCCCTCGCATGTGCTGCCCTCACGTGTGCTGCCCTCACGTGTGCTGCCTGCCCCTGCATTCTGCCCTTCCTTTCTACTTTGATTAGAGGCAGATTGTTGCACGGGTGGGAATTTTTTTCGCTGTGTATCACACCCTTGTTCCCTGCCGTCTTATCGTCGCGTGGTATTCTTTCCTTCTTCCCCTCGACCTACTCCTTTCTTCCTTCCCCCCCACTGCTTGCAGGTGAAATACGTGGTGGAGATCGCGAGAGCCCTGGCGTCCATGCCTCAAGTGTACCGTGTGGATCTGCTCACACGCCAGATCGTTGCTCCTGGGGTAAGTGGTTGTGAGTGGTGGTGAGCGGTGCTGAGTGGTGTTAAAGAGGTGGAGAGTGGTGCGGGTGGGTTTGGAGCTGCTCGTTAGGAAAGAGGGAACACCCTGGCGTACATGCCAAAGGTGTGTGTGTGTGTGTGCGCTGCGTGGATCTGCTTACCCACCAAAATCCTCGCTGCACTACGACTCGGATGAGCTGATAGTGGCTGCGAGCGCGGGCTGGCTCTTGGCCCACTGACGGAACCCTTGCCAACCGCACCCAACCACTCCCCCTCCCTTCCTGCTTCCCAGGTGGACTGGTCGTATGGAGAACCCTCAGTAATGATCATCTCCCTGCACTACGATCCGGACGGGCTGATAGCGGGGGAGAGCGTGGCCGCCTACATCATCCTGTCCTTAGCTCACTATATGAACCCTTGCCAACCGCACCCAACCACTTCCCAGGTGGACTGGTCGTATGAAGAACCATCCGAAATGATCAGCTCCCTGCGCTACGATCTGGACGGGCTGATAGCGGGGGAGAGCGTGGGCGCCTACATCATCCGCCTGTCGTGCGGCCCACTAACTGAACTCTTGCCAACCGTACTCAACCGCACACACGCCCTCTCCCCTCATTCCCTGGTACTCAGGTGGACTGGTCATACGGAGAGCCCTCAGAGATGCTCAGCTCCCTCCGCTACGACCCCGACGGGCTGATAGCGGGGGAGAGCGCGGGCGCGTACATCATCCGCCTTTCGTGCGGCCTGCGCGACCAGCACCTGCGCAAGGAGGCGCTGTGGCTGCCCCTTGGCCCACTCACTGAACCCCTGCCTACCGCACTCAACCGCGTACACACGCCCCTCTCCTCTTCTCCCTGCTCCTGTTTCCCCATTCTCCCTGTGCTTTAGGTCGATTGGTCATACGGCGAGCCCTCAGAGATGCTGAGCTCTCTCCGCTACGACCCGGATGGGCCCAAGTGGGGGAGAGCGCGGGGGCTTACATCATCCGCCTACCCTGCGGCCCGCGAGACCAGTACCTGCGCAAGGAGGCGCTCTGGCCCCACGCCCACCAGTTTCTCTTTTTGCCGGCCCTTGGTTCAACCACTGACTTAACCCCTGCCAACCGCACTCAGCCGCACCCACACGCCCCTCCTCCCATCTCCCCCATTTCCTGTTTCTCCCCACGATTTTAGGTCGATTGGTCGTACGGAGAACCCTCAGAGATGCTGAGCTCTCTCCGCTATGACCCGGACGGGCTGATAGCGGGGGAGAGCGTGGGCGCGTACATTATCCGCCTGCCGTGCGGGCCACGAGACCAGTACCTGCGCAAGGAGGCGCTGTGGCCGTACGTGGACGAGTTTGTGGACGGGGCTCTCACGCACATCATGCATATGTCCAGGGAGCTGGCGGATCAGATCGGGGATGGACAGCGCGTGTGGCCGTATATGATCCACGGGCACTATGCCGATGCTGGGGACATAGCAGCACTGCTCTCAGGTGGGTGCTTCTGTGCAATCGTGTTTGTCATGCCTCCTGCGTTTCTCTGTCCAGGTGCACTGGACGTGCCCATGGTCCTTACTGGCTACTCCCTTCCGAACTAATCAGAGCAGCTGCTGAAGCAGCACCCCCTCCCATTCTCCCCTCCTCTCCTCCTCGCCCCCCGGCCCAACCTGTCCAGGTGCACTGAACGTCTCCATGGTCCTAACCGGGGGCACTCTCTGGGGCGCAACAAGCTGGAGCAGCTGCTGAAACAGGGCCGCATGACTCGCGCCGAGATCAACACACAGTACGCCATCGACCGGCGCATCGAAGCCGAGGAATTCTCCCTGTACGCAGGAGATCTGGTGGTCTCGATTCCCCTGCCTCCATTCCCCAACCCCCTTCCTTTCTCCGCTCCCCTGCCATTCCCTCTCCTCTGATGTGTCCAGGTGCACTGAACGTCCCCATGGTCCTAACTGGTCATTCCCTGGGCCGAAACAAGCTGGAGCAGCTGCTGAAGCAGGGGCGCATGAGCCGCTCAGAGATCAACACCCAGTACGCCATCGACCGGCGCATCGAAGTTGAGGAGTTCTCTCTCGATGCGGCAGAGCTGGTGGTGGCATTTCCCCAGCTTCCATTCCCAAAACGCCCTTCCTTTCTCCCTTCCCCTGCCATTCCCTCTGGTCTGTCCAGGTGCACTGAACGTGCCCATGGTGTTAACAGGCCACTCTCTGGGCCGAAACAAGCTGGAGCAGCTGCTGAAGCAGGGCCGCATGAGCCGCGCCGAGATCAACACGCAGTACGCCATCGACCGGCGCATCGAAGCGGAGGAATTTTCTCTCGACGCAGCAGAGCTGGTGGTGACGAGCACGCGGCAGGAGGTGGAGGAGCAGTGGGGGCTGTACGATGGCTTTGATGTGCGCCTGGAGAGGGTGCTGCGCGCCCGGCAGCTCCGAGGGGTCAGCTGCCACGGCCGCTTCATGCCGCGCATGGCGGTGAGTACACATGAGCGCACGGGTTGCAGGGGGTTAAGGGTTTAAGGGGTAAAAGTGGAGGAGGTGGAGGAGCAGTGGGGGCTGTATGATGGCTTTGACGTGCGCCTGGAGAGGGTGCTGCGCGCCTGGCAGTTAAGGGGAGTCAGCTGCCACGGCCGCTTCATGCCCCGCATGGCGGTGAGTATGGGAATACAGGGTTTCGGGTTTTTGTCAGGAGATTGAGAAAAGGGAGGAGGAGGAGGAGGAGGAGGAGGAGGAGGAGGAGGAGGAGGAGGAGGAGGAGGAGGAGGAGGAGGAGGAGGAGGAGGAGGAGGAGGAGGAGGAGGAGGAGGCCAGGAGAGGGGAAAAGGTGATACTCGGGGCTAAGGGTTCTGAACCTTACACCCTCTCCCACCACCCCCACTGCCGTAACAGTTCCCCGTGCAACAGTGACACGGATGGAGAGGTGGAGTACATACAATGGGGAGGAACTGTTGGGCAGTGGGGGTGGTGGGAGAGGGTGTAGGGTTCAAAACCCCTAGCCCTGAGTACTAAACTATTCCCTTTCATCCCTTAAAATGCGGTCATCCCTGTCATAGCTCCCAGCTATTCGAACCTTGCTTCACCCCTTCCTTCAATCACCCCCCATCCGCTCCGTCCCATTCCTGTTCCTCCCCACCCCCTTTATCCATCAGGTCATCCCCCCAGGAATGGATTTCTCCAATGTGGTCGTCCCAGACATCGACGGCTCTGATTCGCCCGGGCCTGAGCCTCCCATCTGGGCCGAGGTAGTTAACAATTTTTCTGTAGGACATTTCTTCATTGTAGCGTCATGACGTTTAAGATGAGTCATAGGAGGTATGGAAGAACGACTCGTGTTTGTAGCACATCTTGTTGTACTTGAGCCAATGTTTGTGATCGTCACGCTCCAACCAAAGCTGTGATGATCGTCTTTCGTAGACGGTCCTTGCGTCCAATTCCTAGAAAAGTCCATTCCTTTGTCCAACCCGCACAAACCCATCCCCTGGCTCTCGCACTCCTCACCTCACCCCCTTTCCTTGTTCCCCCTTCTCTTTCCGCACATCTATGCACCTGTTTTTTCATTTCCTTTGTTCTTCATATTCAGAACCCCGGATGCGGTGCGTTCATCTCCGTGCGAACTGAGATAACGTAATCGCTTATTGCACTGAAGGAATATGTGAATTCGCATATTCCTTTAGTGCAATAAGCGAATAAGTTATCTCGATTCTCACTGAGATGAACGCATCACGTCGTGAGCTTCTAATATGAAGTCAAAAATAGGTGCTTGTGCGGGTTAAACAAAAGATTATCTTTCCTCTCCCCCCAACTCTTCCCCCCCCCCCCATCCCCTCAACTCTCCCCCAGGTTCGCAAGTTCTGGTCCAACCTGCTCAAGCCCAACATCCTGGTCCTCTCTGCTTCACTCCCTGTTCCATGTGTGTTCCCCTCCTTTCCCCCCCCCATCTATCCCCCTCTCCCCTCCTGCCGTCCCTCCCCTTACCAGGTGCGCAAGTTCTGGTCCAACCCCCACAAGCCCATCATCCGGGCCCTTTCCTCCCCTCCCGCATTTCCCTGTCTAATTTCCCCTCCTTTTCTACCTCTCCCCTGTTGCTTCATCTTCTCCCCTTCTCCAGGTGCGCAAGTTCTGGTCCAACCTGCACAAGCCCATCATACTGGCCCTGGCCCGCCCCACCTGCCCCTCCTCCCTTGTTCCACCTTCCCACCCCCTCACATGTGTTCCTCCCCCGTTCGCTCTCCCCCTTCTCCCCCTCCACAGGTGCGCAAGTTCTGGTCCAACCCGCACAAGCCCATCATCCTCGCCCTGGCTCGTCCCGACCCCAAGAAGAATCTCACCACGCTTGTGCGCGCCTTTGGGGAGAGCCAGGCTTTAAGGGACCTCGCCAACCTGGTGAGTGGGGGAATTTCGTGAGATGCACAAGAGAGTCATGTGGTTTGGTTCTCCCCTTACCCACTTGTGAGAGGCCCGACTGTTGATAAGTTTGTTTTTGAGGCGCCTCAAAAATCGACTACTGATAACTTTATCTTGGAGCCCCACGAAGAATTTTGCACGGGCTAGCTGAGAGAGTCCTGGCAAGTTTGGCGAGTCCGAGGGAACAAGACATGTGTGTCGCTTGCTATGTGGCGACTCTGAAATCGGCATGTCTCGTGATGTACAAGAGTCTCCCGTATTGCAAGGGATGATGTTCTTATGTTTACCCTCCACAACAACCCCTCCCATCCCCACCTCAGAGGGTCCTTTGTATTGATGCTGTGGAGGGTAGAGGCATGCATAGAGGCATGCATGTCTAAAAGGTAAAGCAACGACAATCCCCTAACCCCATCTCTCTCTTCCCCCTCCCCACTCTGCGCTGCAGTGCCTGGTGATGGGCAATCGAGACGACATTGACGCCATGAGTGCGGGCAACGCTGAGGTGCTGACGACAGTGCTGAAGCTGATAGACAAGTACGACCTGTACGGGCAGGTGGCCTACCCCAAGCACCACAAGCAGGCTGAAGTGCCCGACATATACGCCCTCGCTGCCAAGTCCAAGGTGAGGGGAGGCAGGTGGTGGGTGTGCTGTGTTAAGTCAGCTGTGGTGTAGTGTGGTGCGGTGCATCATGGCGTGGTGCTAGGGGGTGCTGACAGCGGCGGGTGCTGAAGCTGATAGACAAGTACGACCTGTACGGTCAGGTGCCCTACCCAAGCACCACAAGCAGGCTGAAGTTCCCGACATCTATGCGCTTGTTACTAAATCTAAGGTGAGCAGAACAGGGATCCAGGCCCGTGGTAGGTGCGCTGTGGTTGCTGTGTGGTGTGGTGCATGGTGCAGTGCCGTGTGGTGCGGTATGTTGTAGTGTGTCTGTCAACATCGTAAGGGGTCACGTCACAGGGTAGGGTGTGTAAGGGGTCACGTCACAGGGTAGGGTGTGTAAGGGGTCACTGCAAGCAGGCTGAAGTGCCGGGCTGTTTTTGAGACGTCTCAAAAACAACCTCGCTTCACGTGTGTAAGGGGTCACCGCAAGCAGGCTGAATTGCCGGGCATCTATGCCGTCGCTGCCAAGTCAAGGTGAGGAGAACAGGGACAGATGTCAAGGACTTAGATATTCTCCACACCTACCTCGATCCAGGCAGGTGGTAGTTGTGCTGTGGTGTTGTCAAGTGTGGGTGCTGTGTCCCCTCCTCCTGTTTCTCCTCTTTGGGGTGCGTTTGTGAACCCAGCACTCGTGGACTCCCGGTGTGATGTCTCAACCAGCTGACCTTTGTCATCCAAGCCTCTGCAACCCTCTTTTCCCGCCTCTCCTCTCCAGGGCGTGTTTGTGAACCCAGCGCTAGTGGAGCCATTCGGCCTCACGCTCATCGAGGTACGGCCTCATATTCTGATGCTGATTCTGTAACTTCAAACCTGAATTTTGATTATGATCATCGCAATCTCATTCCTTTGGCCTCTTTCCTTTGGTTGCTTTTGTGTTAGGCAACCGCTCACATGCAATGCAATGCAACATAAAGATAGCGTTTGATTTAAAACTGAAGGGGCAGATGGTATTCTCTCCCTGTCGGCCTTCCCGTTTCCATGGGGCCATCTCTGTTCCATCCCCTTCTCTCTTTCATCCTCCCACTCCCCTGCTGTCTCCCACTCGCCCTCCCCTCGCCATTCCAACCCCTGCCTTCCCTCCCCTTCTTCTCATCTCATGCCTTTCTCCATTCGCCATATTTGCCCTCTTCCACACATCACAGGCAGCAGCGCACGGCCTCCCCATGGTGGCTACAAAGAACGGAGGCCCAGTTGACATCCAGAAGGTGAGTGCTTTCTGGGTACCCAGTGAAAAATACTATCACCTGGTTACCAGGTGTTCTTCTGTGCATCTCTCTAGCCCGCTTGGCTTCAAGAGCACGGCATGCCTGCCCATGATGCCCCAATATGCGCTTCTGAGATTTCTCAAAACGTGCTTTCAGCACCAAGGCCTGATATAGAAATCCCCTAATCCTCATGATCTTCCCTACCCCTCCCACCTTTCCCTCCCCCTCTGCTCTTATCTTCTCCCTCCCTGGCTCAGATGCTGAGCAACGGGCCGGTGGTATATCCGCTCCGCGTGGTTTTTGAGGCGCCTCAAAAATCACCTCACTGCAGTGCAGGCCTGCATGATCCCAGCTGTAGCAACGGGCCGGTGGTACATCCGCTTCGCATGATGCCAACACCCTGGGGTCCACTCACGTTGCTACAGCTGGTGGCGAAGAAAAGAGCTCATTTGCTGCACTACTATTGTTAATATGCCTCCTCCGCTCTCCGCCCCGCACTCCTCCCCATCTCCCCTCCTTCAGATGCTGAGCTACGGGCTGGTGGTGGATCCACACGATGCCAACGCCCTGGTGGGGGGATGAAGTGGGCGCTTCTGCTGTCCTTGCATTCTCACTCTGCCACGTTCTCCTGTTCCTGTTCCTTGCATTCTCGCAATCTGTTCAGATGCTGAGCAACGGGCTGGTGGTGGACCCTCACGATGCCAATGCACTTTCATCCGCGTTGCTACAGCTGGTGGCGGACAGGGCGCTGTGGACAGATTGCCGCAAGTCAGCTCTGGCCAACATTCACAAGTACTCCTGGCCGCAGGTGGGTGCAAATGGGTGTAGGTGGGTGGTCTGGCCGCAGGTGGGTGGTCTGGCCGCAGGTGGGTGCATGGTCGGTTATGTAGGCGCATCAACAGAGTTTCCCAGGCGCTGCTACAGCTGGTGGCGGATGGGGCGCTGTGGACCGATTGCCGCAATCTGCTCTCGCCAACATCCACAGGTTTTCGTGGCTGCAGGTGGGTTGTCTGGACGCTCTGTTTCGTAGGCACGTCAGGTGAGTTACTCAGGCGTTGCTGCAGCTGGTGGTGGGCAGAGCCTTTGGACTGATTGCCACAAGTCAGCACTGGCCAACATTCAGAAGTACTCTTGGCCGCAGGTGGGTGGAAGTGGGTGTGTGGTGGTGTTTGCTGGTGGGTGTATGTCTCTCAGGTGTATCATCACTCCCCTTCTCCCTTTCCCCCTTTCCTTCCCGCTTCTCCTCCCCTACCTCCCCCAACTCGACTCTCCGAATTTCATCTTTCTTCCCTTCTGCTCCACTTCACCCCTCGCCCCTTCCCCTCTCACCCCCCTCTTTTCCTACCCCTCCTCCCAAGCAGCACTGCGCCTCACTCCTGACCCGTGTGGCCCAGTCGCGTCTGCGCCACCCAGTGTGGAGGGCAGCAGCACTCTTCGACCAGGTCGCTGCCTCTGCTACCCGAGCAATCCACATCTCCTCTTCCCCTTCACCCCTTGCCCCTTATTTCCAACAGCACTGCGCGTCACTCCTCACCCGAGTCGCCCAGTCGCGTCTGCGCCACCCAGTGTGGAGGGCAGCAGCACTCTTCGACCAGGTCGCTGCTGCCGCCTCTTCAGTCACCACTACCGGCCTCCAATCCCTATGACTTGTCCTCTTCCACTTCTCCATTTCCCCCTCCCCACCACCCTCTACAGCACTGCGCCTCTCTGTTAACCCGAGTGGCCCAGTCGCGTCTGCGCCACCCAGTGTGGAGGGCAGCAGCACTCTTCGATCAGGTCGCAGCCGCCACCTCCTCCACCCACCCCTCCACCGGCCTGCACTCCGAATCCCTCCGGGACATTCAAGACCTCTCCCTGCGCCTCTCCTTCGACGGCAAGTTCTGGGGCGGAGGGTCCTTCCAAGGAGGCTCTATGGATCTCTCTTTCATGCTCGATAACCTCGGGGTTATCCGGCCCGACGGCCGGTCCGCTAGTGGTTACGCGGCTGAGCCTTCTCATGCTGCTGCTGGTGGTTTTGGTGGTTCTGGTGGTCTTGGTGGGGGGGAGGGGCTGGGAGAAGGAGCAGCGTTGGGGATTCACAACAGGCTGGGGAATTACTCGTTTACTGGGGGTATGGGGTCAGAGAGTGTTGGGCGGTACCGAGAAGGGGTGGGCGGGTCGGGGCGGCTGCAGGGGATGCAGGAGGAAGGGGAGGACGGAGGAGCAGGAGGAGCAGGAGCAGGGGAGAAAGGGTCAGCAGCAGGAGCAGCAGCAGCAGCGGCTTTCGAGGGACTCCGGCTGAGAAGGAGGCGGCGGCTGATCGTGGTTGCTGTGGATGAATATGATCCTGTTGGGCGGCCGGGTTCGTCTGTTCTGGACTCTCTGTGCGCCGCCCTGGAGGTGGCATACCGGCACAACACGGGAACGTTAAGGGAGCGCGTTGTATGGGGTATGGGGCCGGGCGGGGAGATTGGTGTGGTGCTGGCGACAGCACTGACAGCCAGAGAGACGGTGGCAATGCTGACAGCAGCAGGAGTGGGGCTGAGGCAGCTTGATGCGTTGATAGCAGGGGGAGGGAGCGAGGTGTACTACTCTGTACCGTGCTCCACTGCATCGGAACTTGGAGCAGCAGCAGCTGGGGGAACAGGAGCGGGAGCAGGAGCGGGAGAGGCGGCAGGAATGGCAGCAGGTCTGGTATCAGCCATGGCTCCTCTGGAGGATCGGGAAGGCTGGCAGTTGCTTCCCGATCCGGACTACTTCGCGCATATTGAATACCGGTGGAGCGCTGACGGTGTACGCCGGTCCATGGGACGAATCCTGGCGCACGCTATAAAGGGTACAGCATCGGGTGGGGCTGCCAGTGCTGCCACCCCTCCTGTGGCAGGCTGTGGCGGTGTTTTCCCTCCTCCTGCCGCTGCTCTCTCTGCTGCTGCTGCTGCTGCTGGGAATGGTGCTGCAGCTGCTGTCGGTAACGGGGCTGCTACTAACGAGGAGGAGTATGTCCGCTCAATCTCCTTCTCAGACGGGCTGACAGCAATCGCCTCTGAGCCTGCAGCTCCCTCCACCCGCTCAGGCATCCCTGGGAGCAAGAGCGTGACTGGCAGCAGGATCGGGGGCGCAGGGGCTGGATCGAGAGGGGCGAGGGGGAATGGGTTGCTGCTGCAGCAGCAGCAGCTGCTGGCGGTGCAGCGCGTGTGTGTGGAGGATGAGATGAGGACCACGTCCCGGCGGCTGGCGTATCGAGTGCTGGATGTTGCTCAGGTACGGATGCTGTGCTTTAGGTGCCTGCCTGAGATTGTTGGTGCGCAGAGGAATCCTATTTGCTGGCGGTGCAGCGTGTGTGTGAGGAGGATGAGATGAGAACCACTTCGAGGCGTCTGGCTTACCGAGTGCTCGATATTTCTCAGGTACGGACTGCCCGGGTAAGGGCTTAGAGACATCATACGGGATTGTGTTGCAGGTGAGGGGTCTCGAGAGTGAGGTGCGTGCACCCATTAGTGACCAGCACAATCTCTAATGCGTGAGATGGTCTGGTCACTAATGAGATGCTTTTGTTCCAATCTCTTGCTACAGTAATATCGACAGAAGGGCTCTGGCATGTGAAGCATGGTATGGCTCTGGCATGTGAAGCATGGTATGGCTCTGGCATGTGAAGCATGGTATGGCTCTGGCATGTGAAGCATGGTATGGCTCTGGCATGTGAAGCATGGTATGGCTCTGGCATGTGAAGCATGGTATGGCTCTGGCATGTGAAGCATGGTATGGCTCTGGCATGTGAAGCATGGTATGGCTCTGGCATGTGAAGCATGGTATGGCTCTGGCATGTGAAGCATGGTATGGCTCTGGCATGTGAAGCATGGTATGGCTCTGGCATGTGAAGCATGGTATGGCTCTGCTTTCTCTCCTCTCCTCCACCTACCCACTTTCCTTCAACCACCCCCACCCCCCCCCTCGTCCCATCCCTCCTTCCCTCCTCCCCCCCCCTGTGCCGCTCCCAGATGCCAACAGCAGCTGAGCTGCGGCGCCGCCTGCGCCTACGTGGCTTGAGGTGCCACGTGGGCTACTGTCGTGCTGCCACGTGTCTGCACATCCTGCCTCTCCATGCCTCTCGCTCACAAGCTCTCAGGTAATGTACCTGGTGCACTATGCAGCGTGTTCAGCCTGCAGTGTGCAACTTCTCACTGTTCAGTGTGCAACTTCTCACTGTTCAGTGTGCATCTTCTCACTGTTCAGTGTGCATCTTCTCACTGTTCAGTGTGCATCTTCTCACTGTTCAGTGTGCAACTTCTCACTGTTCAGTGTGCATCTTCTCACTGTTCAGTGTGCATCTTCTCACTGTTCAGTGTGCAACTTCTCACTGTTCAGTGTGCATCTTCTCACTGTTCAGTGTGCAACTTCTCACTGTTCAGTGTGCATCTTCTCACTGTTCAGTGTGCATCTTCTCACTGTTCAGTGTGCGCCTTTCACTGTTCAGTGTGCGTCTTTCACTGTTCAGTGTGAGCTGTGCGTATTGGGCCAGCTGGCAGATCTTTTAATTGCATCTTCTCACTGTTCGGTGTGCTGTCCCTCTCCCCCTCTTCCTCTCTGTCCCACATTCTCGCTCTCTTTCCCTCTCTGTACCTCTCTCTCCCTCTCTCGCCCTCTATCCTATTTTCACGCTCGTTGTCCCTCGCTCATCCAGGTACCTTTGTGTCCGTTGGGGATTGGAGCCTGCTGACCTGGCAGTCGTCGTCGGCAGTCCAGCTGGCGCTGACGGCGACTACGCACAGCTGCTCTCCGGCATGCACCACACGCTCATTCTGGAGCCTCCCCCTGCTGACGTGGCACAGCACCAAGGAGCAGCAGCAGCAGCAGCAGCAGGGATGGATCCGTTTGCAGAGTACAGAAGGAAGCTGCTGCATGAGTTTGTGCCACGCAGTGACGTGCATCTGCCCAACCTGGTCAATGTGGAGGATTCGTCGAGCGACAAAGTCGGCGCTCTCGCTGGAGCGCTGGAGAAGATTGGGTTTGCATGAGCAGGCTGCTGGGCGGTTGGAGAGTACAGGAGGAAGCTGCTGCACGTGTTTGTGCCGCGCAGTGAAGTGCATCTGCCCAACCTGGTGAATGTGGAGGATTCGTCGAGTGACAAAGTGAGCGTCCTGGCCGGAGCCTTGGAGAAGATCGGGTTTGCATAAGGAGCTGTAGCTGCAATGTTTTCATGAGAGGTTAAATCGCGAATCGAAGTGCATCTGCCCAACCTAGTGAATGTGGAGGATTCGTCGAGCGACAAAGTGAGCTCTCTGGCTGGAGCCCTGGAGAAGATCGGGTTTGCATAAGCAGCTGCACTGTTTGTATGGATTGTTTGGTAGACACAGTACAGGAGTCAGTTTTCTTGCTTTCTCGTGTGCTATGTCAAGGTATCTTAGCATTTCTTCGTCTGCCGAAAGCATTAAATGCCGCAGGAGCTGGTATACGTAAATTCTGAGAGGATTCTAGTAGTGTATAAATATTCCTGTACTACACTTCAGCTGTGTCTCTTGAATCTAAGCAGATGCTGGATGCTTTGTGAAGGAATTTCCTTGTAGAGTGGTTTTTTATTTGTATCGCAGCATTGCTCCAGCGAGCTCAGAACTTCTGCTACCAGCGTCCCCGTGTGCGCATGATCAAAGAGTTACAGAAAATTATTGGAGCTCAAAAGGAATTATTGCCGAACTACATCAGGGCGTATTCGGGGCTGCGAACTGACCTCTTGTGGATCATTTCAACACCACTTGTGAGTCTTTCAGGACTAGGACACTTCAGGGCTTCGGAACCTCGGTACCCTCGAGGGCGTCGCTTGCGCACTCTTGAAGTGTCCACTTCGGTTTCTTGCTGAATGGGCCATGGTTTTGCTTGAACCACACAACCGAATGTACCCCGAATAACCACACAACTCACTCACAGCAGCAACCGCATTTTGCGGGTTCACATCACACAGCCAAAACTACCAGCTAGATTTATGGCGCAGGCAACCTATCGTGTGCCGTTTTGCGCATTCACAGCCAAAGTAGACTATTTATGCCTCATGCAGCCTATCATGTGCAGCTTTGCGCGTTCACATTTAAACGAGGTATTTGAATTATGACGTTGGCGAGGCAGCACTCCCGTGCAGTAGCCAATCAGTTGCCGTTTTGCGCGTTTGCAAGCTCATTTGCGAGCGGGCGAGCGGGTTTCGCGCATCAGCGAAGCAGTCGTCGTTATGCGCGTTCTACTCTCAACCCTGAATTATCATGGCGCCAGCGAGCTGCCGGGGCTTCCGGGCGTGCCCCAACCAATAAATCCGTTTGTCAATCGAGAACCACCTTGAGACTTCACGGCTAGCTGGCAGATCTTATGTAGTATATATGACAAACAGTTACTGGCAGTGAGCCATAACAGTGTACGAGAGTGGTAGCTTGCTTCTTCGCTTCTCTGATCGCCTCCTGATTCCAATCGACCTTACCACTTATCCTAGCCCGATATCACGAACGAAGTGACTTTTGAGTCGACTCAAAAGTCACCTTACCACTTATCCTAGCCCGATATCACGAACGACCAATCATGGGTCGGCGCATCTCTAGTCACGTGAATCACGCTATGCTTGCCTTCGCGGCAGTCGCCGTCGTCGTCGTTTCTCTCCTCTCAGCGATTCCGTCGCCTGCGGCGGCAACTCCGCTCGTTGGCGGCTGGTCTACCGTGAAAGACGCGCCAAACGATCAGCACGTGGCGGATCTAGCCAACTTCGCCGTCGACGCTTACAACAAGAAGCAGGTACCCAGAGAAGAGCCTTTTTGCAGTATTTCTTTCATGTATTTGACTGATCAGCTTCGCTGTCGACGCGTAAAACAAGAAGCAGGTATCTAGAGAAGCGTTATAAGACGCCTCAAAACAGGTACCCAGAGAAGAGTTATGTGATATTAGATTTGTTTTGAGACGTTTCGAAAGAACGGTCAGCACGTGGCGGATCTCGCCAGCGTCGCCGTCGACGCGTACAACAAGAAACAGGTACCGAGGGAAACCCCAGTGCCGCTCTGTCTTTTGAGGTGCCTTGTGTTTGGATTGAAACTTGCGCGTCCGCGTACTGGCACCCGGCCCGCCGTGAAAGACGCGGAGAATTAGCACGTGGCGGATCTGACCAACTTCGCCGTCAACGCGTACGACCAGAAAAAGGTACCAAGAGGAAAGTTTTTTCTCCAGTATCGCTTTCATGTATTTGACTGACAAAACAACTCTTCTAAGTCGAGTTGAAAAAAACACCTGAAAGACGTGGCGTGGCGACGATTGATGGAGTTGGCAAAGGAGATGATTTTTTATATGTCTCAAGATCCATATTTATTCACGACTTTGTCTGAGAAAAAAAGTACTCTGTGAGTCGGGTTGGAAACCTGAAAGAACACCTGAATGACGTGGCAGCGAATAGGGAGTTGTCATTGTTCGCCTTCGACGCGCACAACAAGAAAAGACGTATCAATCCAGAGAAACCCGATGGCGTTCTGTCTTTGAAGGTACCAAATTCACCATTCCTGCTGGAGACGTCTCACTTCCAGAGCCTTCAATAACCACTGTCTGTTGAGGCGCCTCAGAAATTTCTCTCCTCCCATTCGGTCCTCACTTCACTCCGTCAAATCCTGAGCCGAATACCCTCTTGGTCAAACTTCGCCTCGTTACAGCACCAATGGCCGCCACATGCTTTGGGTACTATCTTTCTTTCCCACCCCACGCCAACCCACTTGGCCAGATCCCGAGCTGAAGATCCTGTTGGTCAAGTCTCGCCTCGTTACAATGCCAATGGTTGGCCACAAGCGTCAAGTACTCTCCCTCTCTCCTCACCCGCCACCCCACAGCACCAGAACACGACCCTCAGGTTCCACTCGCCTTGTGTTACAGTATCCCCGCATGGCTGCCTATAACAAACCCTAAGATGTCAGCTTCCCTCCCCACCCCTCCCCACCCCTCCTCACCCCTCCCCTCCCCTCCTTACCCCTCCCCACCCCCCACCCCACCCTACTTTACCCCGCCGGAACACGAACTACAGGCTCGTCTTGCTGAAGGCTGCGCTGAGCCAGGTGGTTGCCGTGTCGAGATGACCCTTGACAAGCCTCAAGATCTTCTCTTCCTTGCCCATCCCTCCCCACCCCACTCCACCGCACCCCACCCCATCACACCAGAACACGCGCCTCAGGTTCATCTCGGTCGTGAGCGCCAAGAGCCAGGTGGTTGCCGGCAGCAAGTTGCACATCACAAGCCTCTTCCTTTCCTTCCCCATTTCGCCCCTCCCCACCCCACTCCACCGCACCCCACCCCATTGCACCAGCACACACGCCTCAGGTTTATCTCAGTCTTGAGTGCCAAGAGCCAGGTGGTTGCTGGCACCAAGTGGAGCATCACTCTGCAAGCCGTCGCCCCAGCAGCGAACAAAGGGCACATTCGCATCAACCCTCCCTTGACCACCTACGTGACCGAGGTTTTCGAGAAACCTACGGCAGCGGCAAAGCAGCCTGCGGGGGTGGCACACCTGGCAGTACAGCCGATTGTGAAAAGGCCGGTGGTGGGCGATGGGCAGACGTCAGGCGTGGCGCAGCCAGCAATGGGCGATGGTCAGCCGGCGGGGGTAGCACAGCCGGTGGGAGACGGACAGGCGACAGGCGTAGCGCAGCTGGTGGGCGGTGGGCAGACGTCGGCGGTGAAACAGCCGGCGTTGGCGGATTCTCTCAAGCTGGTCTCCTTTGCCAAGAAGAAATGACTGGCGGCTTGAACTGACTGCTGACTGGAGGCATTTCTAAATACAGCGAGCTTTCTCTCCTTGGCAAGTAGACTGGGTAGAAGCGAGACAAGGGTGATTGTAGAAAATTCAAGCAAACTGAAGTAGTTCTTGCTGTTGTAGGCTGTTGTGGGCTGGATGTGTGGCACTGAAGTGTGAACTGTGCCGCCTCTGGTTAGTCCTATACCACTGTTGCTGGTATTGAAATATATAACATGTTCCGGCGTTCTTGATTCCCAAGGCTGTTGCTAAGTGAAAATTGGAATATTATGCCTGTAACTAAAGCTGTGAAAGAAACCCAAGCTAAGTATCTTGTGACATTATTCAGTGTACATTATTCGCTGTACACCTCCGTGCCAATTCAATTGTCTTGTGACAGAAGTGGAGGTGATATTCGTCGTCGTTTCGCTCCTCTCCTAGTTTCCGGCTTCTGGGACATTCCAAACCTAACAGCAGATTGCACTAATGCCACTAATGCAACTACTTGCCCTCGTTGCCTCCTGCCAGCAGAGCCTGCCCCAGCTGCAGCATCACCAAATGCACTGGGTGATACTCCTTCCCACCCCTCGCCCTCACACTCCCTGCATAATCCTCTACTGATGACGCCTTGATGCCCGAAAATGCCTGCTGCTGCGAGTGCTGGTCCAGCCAGAGGGAGCGCTACTTGCCCTCATTGCCAGGCCCAAGAAGCAGCGACTGCCCCAGCTGCAGCATCACAGCATACACCGGATGAAACTCCTTCCCACCCCTCGCCTTCACACTCCCCACGTAATCGTCTACTGATGACGCCTTGATGCCCTGCCATGCCTGGTGCTGCGAGTGCTGGTCCAGCAAGAGTGAGTGCTATTTTGAGGGGCCCCGAAAAAAGCCAGAGGTGTTGTAACTGTATCTTATACACAACATACATAGGCTAGAATGGTGTAGCTCTTTATGTTCTTGGGGGGTTGGGTGTACACTCCAACCACATTTTGTGGTTGGTCAAGGTTGGGTTTGGTCTTGGTCCTTGGTTGGCACTTGCCAACTTTTGGTCCTAAGGCCTACCAATCACAACCTAGCAACATTGTGGGGTTACCTACTCCACAAGGCATCTCCCCCATTGGCCAACTTAGTGGCCAATAGGGTTTGCTCCTTCTTCACCCCTCTCTTGCTTGCATGCTTGTACTAAAGAGCCTCCATGGCTCATTATTCAACTACTCTTGAATTCTATCATGGTATTCAGAGCCAAATGGCTCACGCCACCTTCCCTCGATCCTCATGTTGTAATTCCCTCCCCGCTCCCTTACCCTAGCGGACTATGACCTACATCGGCCCACCCGCTCCTCAGATCTAGCCTCCCGCGGCTCAGTTCCGCCTCCCGCACCTCAGATCTAGCGTTCCGCGGCGTAGATCTTCTCCTCCGCGGCCTCAATCCTCCCTCCCGCGGCCTCTATCCTCCCTCCCGCAGCCCCAAACCGCTCCCCCGTGGCAGCAATCCTTCCTCCCGCCGCCACGCCTCCATCTGCCCGCCGACGCGTCCGACCTCCGCGCCGACGCGGACGACCAGCGCGGCGACGCGGACGACCTGCGACCGCCGCGGACGGCCAGCGCGCGACCCCCGACGACCAGCGCGCTGCCGCGGACGGCCAGCGCGGCCCCGACGACGACCCGCGCGCTGACGCGGACGGCCAGCGCGGCCCCGCCGACGACCCGCGCGCTGACGCGGACGCCCAGCGCGGCCCCGCCGACGACCCGCGCGCTGACGCGGACGGCCAGCGCGGCCCCGCCGACGACCCGCGCGCTGACGCGGACTGTCAGCGCGCGGCCACGAACGAACCGTGCGCCACCGCGGACGGCCAGCGCGCGACCGTCGACGCCCCTGCGCCGACGCGGACGGCTGGCGCGCAGCCGCGGCTGATCTGCCCGCCGTCGCGTTCGCCTGCCCGCGATCTCCACGACCTCGAAACCCTAATTACTCCCCGCACTTCCGCACCAGCCTCTCTTCCCCTCTACCTCCTCCCCCTACTCCACCCCTAACGGCACCAGCAGCAGCAGCAGCGGCATCGGCGGCGGCAGCAGCAGCGGCATCGGCGGCGGCAGCAGCAGCGGCATCGGTGGCGGCAGCAGCAGCAGCATCGGCGGCGGCAGCAGCAGCGGCATCGGCGGCGGCAGCAGCGGCGGCGGCACCAATACCAACAGCAGCAGCGGCGCCTTCACCCCTCCGCCGTCATGGCGTCATCCGACTCCTCGGTCGATCTAGCGACCATTGACGCCCTCGAGCTGCTCGGCGACAACTTGGCCGCCAACTGGCACTCCTATGCTCACTCCGTCGAGGTGTTGCTCTCCTCGGTCATCGTCAGTGGTTATACACTCCGCTCCGTCGTGTTCCAGGAGGAAGGCGGACTCCAGCCCATCGCCCCTTCTGCCCCCACCGGACCTCCTCCTGATGAGCCCGGACCTAAGCCCGAGCCCCCTGGTGATCCTCCCTCCTTCGCACCGGATGTCAACAATCCTCAAAGCGTGGAAACTGCCATCCGTGCCTACCGCAACACACTCAACGACCACCTTCACCGTCAACTGCGCTATGAGGACGACAAGCGCGCCTACGACGAGGCTGCTGCCCGTCACTGCGACTACCACGCCCAACTCACCACGTACACTACACGCCTCGCTAACTACACCTCCGACATCGCTGCGTGGCGCATTGCTGACCGTCGAGCTCTCGCCATCCTCCTCGCCACTATCCCCTCCTCCCTCAAGCGAGAACTCTCACCCACCTCCTCCTCCCACCTGTGGCAACTGCTTGTTGACCTCTTTGACCGGCAGGACATCGCCACCCTCTATGCCCTCATCAAGGAATTTGGATCCATCACCATGGATTCCACTACCGGCGCAGCCGCCTTTACTCGCCGCGTCCTTGACCTTGCTCGCCGCCTTGTAGCACTTGGTGTTACCTACCCTGACACCGTCATCTGCTGCCACCTCCTCGAAGGCCTCACTCCTGCCTTCGATGCCCACAAGCTGGCCTACATGCAACTCCTCTCCAAACATGACACTCCCGCTCAAGTTGCCCAGTGGATTATCACCACCGAGGCAGAAATCCTTCGCCACTCCTCCTCCACTGCCGCGGTAGCACAGCAGCGCAGCGGCAAAGGCGGACGTGGAGGGGGGCGTGGAGGTGGGCGTGGAGGTGGTCGAGGCGGCTCTGGCGGTCGTGGTGATGCGGGTCGTGGTGCAGCAGCGGCCTTCCCACCCTGTCAGTATCTTCCCCTTTATGGCCCCACCCGAGGCCAACGCTGCAACCAAACCACTCATGCAACTGAGACGTGCTTCAAGGCACTCAGCGATGAGTGGTTCGCTCGTGGGAACTCTGGCACCCCTCCTCGCTGGTCCGCCCTTAATCCCCGCCCCACTCCCCTCGACGTTCGCACCTCTCCCCTCTACGCTCCTTCCTCCTCCTCCCAGGCCCACCAGGCCTTTGCTCTCCCCTCTCAGCAGCAGCAGCAGCAGCATCAGCATCAGCAGCAGCAGCAGCAGCAGCAGCAGCAGCAGCAGCAGCAGCAGAGTGTCCAGCAGCAAGGACCGCAGCAGTACGGGCAGCAGCTTCAGCAGCTCCAGCAGCAGCTTCAGCAGCTCCAGCAGCGGCTCGACCTCCAGCCCCAGCTTCCTCTCCTCCCACCTCCTCCTGTCCCCCAGCAGCAACCGTCTCCCGGCTGGACTGCTGGGAATGCAGCCTCTGCGGCCCACCTCTCCGGTCCCTCCCCTGCGCCGTCCACAGGTGGTAGTGTGACCCCCTTTCCCTCCTCTGGCTTTGTTGGTCTGCTTAGTCAGCCTCCCTCTGTTGCATCCCCTATGTATGCCCCTGCTACTAATGAAACTTCCATTCAGTACTCCGCCTCACCCTCCTCCACCCTTGAGTTCGTCTTGGATAGTGGAGCCACTGACAATGTCTTTCGCGATGCTGGCAAACTCCATTCTCTCCCCACACCCACGTCCCTCCTCGGCGCTGACAGCAGCTTTTCCATCCCCTGTCACAACACGTCCACCCTTCCCTATCCTCTCTTTCCCTCAGGTACCGTCACAGGTCTTCACATTCCCTCCCTTCGCACTAACCTCCTCTCCCAAAGGTCCCTCCAACAATCCATGATCACCACTGTCACCCCAGGAGGTGCTAACCATTGTGACCTTTTCCAAACCTCCACAGGTCGCTTCCTCGCCCGCATTCCCTACTGTCACCGCTCCCGTCTATACACCCTTCGGGTTCCTCGCCCCTTCACCTTCCAAGTTGCCTCCCCCCCCCTCCTCCCCTCCCTCCCACTAACCCACCCGTCCCCCCCCCGCCCCCCTGACTCTGACTGCTCATGTCGCTCCCTCTCCCACCCTGCTATCCTCCTCCATCACAGGCTAGGTCACCCCAACTTCGCCACTCTGCGCTCCTCTGTATCCTCCGGTCTCCTCCACGGTCTCCCCTCCTCCCTCCCTCCCCTCCCAAAGTCCCCTGCCCCCCCTTGCGTCGTTTGTGTTCAGAGCAAGCTCAAGCAGCAGCCGCACCGGAGCTCCCCCTCCGCTGCAGCCCAGCCACTTGATCTTGTTCACATGGACCTCTGGGGCCCTAACCCCTCCCCCACTCGCCAAGGCCATCGCTACCTCCTCGTGCTCGTCGATGATCACAGTCGGTACTCGTCCGTCTCTCTCCTTCGGACGAAGGCGGACGCCCCGACTGCGATCATTGCCTGGCTCGAACAGGCAAACACCCACTTTGGGCGCCCTGTTCGCCGCCTCCACTCTGATGGTGGTGGTGAGTTCCTTAACAACCAGATCTCCTCCTATTGCCAGTCCCGCGGCATTCTTCAGACTTACACCCTCCCTCACTCCCCACAGCAGAACGGTGTCGCTGAGAGCCGTGTTCGGGAGATCACCAAAACGGCTCGGTGTCTCCTTGTCCACGCCTCCTGCCCCCCTTCTATGTGGGGCTACGCCCTCCTTCATGCCGCCCTCCTTACTAACCTTTACCCTCACCCCCTCCTCCCCTCCACCACCCCCACTGAGCTATGGACAAAGGACAAACCCGATGTCTCCCCTCTTCGGGTCTGGGGCTCAAAGGCATATGTCCTCATTCACCCATCTGACCGATCCCGTTCCCTAGGAAAACTTGCCCCTCGTACCCTTCCCTGCATCTTCCTTGGTCATAACTGTCAGAATCCCAACCACTAGACCATTGGGATAAAAGGGCTTGTTTCAGTAGCGGGTAAGTGCGCCCATAACCCCCCAGGCGAACGCGCCTGTAACCCTCTCCAGGATCAATCGGGCATCCACAGTGCAGATCTACTGACACCCCCCCACACTGGGAGGCCCAGGACTAAGCACAGCGGCAACGGCCTACATGTGCATACACCGGGAATCGAACCCGAGACCGCTCTGATACCATGTCAGAATCCCAACCACTAGACCATTGGGATAAAAGGGCTTGTTTCAGTAGCGGGTAAGTGCGCCCATAACCCCCCAGGCGAACGCGCCTGTAACCCTCTCCAGGATCAATCGGGCATCCACAGTGCAGATCTACTGACAATAACCCCTCTTTCCCGACTATCTTTTCCTCCACCCCCCCTCCGGTCGACTAATTCGCAGCAGGGATGTCGTCTTTGACGAATCCACCCCATACTATTCCTCTCCTCCGTCCACTGACCCACTCCCACCTCTGACTCGTCCCCTTGTCTGGTCTGACACCACCCCTCCCCCTCTCCTCCCTCCTCCCCCCATCCTCCCACCCCCTTCCCCACCGCCCCCCCAGTCCCACGGTGCCCCTCCCTCGTCTGGTGACATCTTTGACCCGGACCCCCTGTCTTCCCCTGTCTCCCCCGCTCACTCCTCCCTTGGTGCCCCTCCTCCCCCTCCCTCCCGACCCTCGCCTCCCTCCCCCCCTCCCCGCACCACACTCACCCGGTATCCTCATACCAGGTCGTGCAACGGTATTCTTGGTGCACCGCCCCCTGTTACCCTCTCTACCTCTACCCTCCCCCCTCTTTCCCCCCTTCTTCACCACTTCTTCCAGGCTGTCCTGCATCAAGCCCCTCATGCACCCGCCCCCTCTACTACCTCTCCAGCAGCGGCAGCAGCAGCAGCTCCAGCAGCAGCCACCGCAGCGGCACCAGCAGCGGCACCAGCAGCGGCAAGTGCAGAGGCGCCAGCAGCGGCAAGTGCAACGGCACCAGCAGCGGCGAGTGCAGCGGCAGCGGCGACCTCGGCAGCGGCACCAGCAGCGGCGGCACCAACAGTGGCACCAGCAGCGGCACCTGCGGTCATCCGCGCCTTCCACACCTCCCTCTCTGAGGACTCCCATGAGGAGTTCCTTGACCTCCACCTCTCTGACCCCTCCCTCCTTCCCATCACCTCTGACCTCTCTGGAACACCAGTCTTCGCCTTTTCCTCCGCACCCTCCACCTTCATCCCAACCACGTATGAGGAGGCCATGGCTTGTCCCGACGCCCCGCTCTGGCTCGCCGCCATCATCAAGGAGCTCGAGGCGTTTATTGCCAACTCCTCCTTCGTTGATGTGCCTCGCCCTCCCCCCTCTACGAACGTGGTCAAGGGGAAGTGGGTGTTTCGCGTCAAGCAGCTGCCAGGAGAACCGCCCGTCTACAAGGCCCGGTATTGCGCCAAGGGCTTCACGCAGCGGTATGGCTTTGACTTCTTCGACACCTTCTCCCCCACCGCCAAACCTGCTACCGTTCGCGCCGTCCTCGACCTCGCCGCTCGCCTCAACATGGAGATCCACTCGATGGATGTCTCCAACGCCTTCCTGCAAGGCGTACTACGTGAACTGATCTACATGGAGCGCCCAGCGGGCTTCCACCTCCCCTTCCCCGCTGACTCTGTCTGGCAGCTGCGCCGCCCAGTGTATGGGCTCCGCCAGGCTCCCAGGGAATGGCATGCCAAGCTTGCTGCCACCCTTGTCGAGCTTGGGTCTCGCACCTCCCGCTCCGACGCCAGCCTCTTCCTCCGCACCTCCCCCTCCCCCTTCTACATCCTCGTCTATGTTGACGATATGATTCTTCTCACTGCCGATCCTGCCGAGCTCGAGACTGTCAAGACGGAGCTGGGCAGCCGTCTCAAGTGCAAAGACCTGGGAGAGCTGCAGCACTACCTCGGCATGACCATCACTCGCGACCGCTCCGCCCGCACCATCTCTCTCTCTCAGGGCCACTACCTCCAGCAGGTCTTAGAACGGTTTGCAATGGCGCGCGGTAACCCCCAGCCCACTCCCCTTTCGGTCGGGCACCACCTCTCCCCACCCTCCTCTCCCTCTCCCTCCTCCCATCCTTATCCTGAACTCATCGGCTCTCTCATGTACGCCATGGTCTCTACTCGCCCTGACCTTGCCTACCCCATCAGCGTCCTCGCTCGCTTCGTTGGCGCTGGCAAGCATACGGAGGAGCACTGGCAGGCCGCCAAGCGCGTTCTTCGCTACATTCGTGGCACCAAGGACTGTGTCCTTACCCTTGGCGGCCCTTCCCCACCCCTCCTCCACGGCTACAGCGACTCTTCCTGGGCTGACTCTCGACCGGATCGGCGGTCCTCTCAGGGTTATGGCTTCTCTCTGGGCAGCGGCCTCATCAGCTGGCGGTCCACACGCTCCTCTGCCGTCGCCCTCTCCTCCTGCGAGGCAGAGCTCTACGCTGCAACCATGGCCGCGCAGGAGGCGCGCTGGCTCACCTTCCTCCTTGATGAGCTTGGAGCCCCCCAACGCTGTCCCACCATCTGGGTGACAACGCTAGCACCATCCACCTCACCAAGGATGTTGTGTATCATGGGCGCTCCAAACACATTGAGCTCCGCTACTTTTTCATTCGTGAACTCGTTGAGGCCGGCCATCTTCGCCTTGGCAATATCGACTCGGCGGCCAACCTCGCTGACATCTTCACCAAAGCCCTTCCCCAGGCGTCCCACTCCTTCCTTCTGCGCCTCCTTGGCCTCACCCCTCCTCCGGTTTTGGCGGCCTCCTGATTCCATTTTCTAGCCTTATGCCTGTTGGGGGGTTGTGTTGTAACTGTATCTTATACACAACATACATAGGCTAGAATGGTGTAGCTCTTTATGTTCTTGGGGGGTTGGGTGTACACTCCAACCACATTTTGTGGTTGGTCAAGGTTGGGTTTGGTCTTGGTCCTTGGTTGGCACTTGCCAACTTTTGGTCCTAAGGCCTACCAATCACAACCTAGCAACATTGTGGGGTTACCTACTCCACAAGGCATCTCCCCCATTGGCCAACTTAGTGGCCAATAGGGTTTGCTCCTTCTTCACCCCTCTTTTGCTTGCATGCTTGTACTATAGAGCCTCCATGGCTCATTATTCAACTACTCTTGAATTCTATCAAGAGGGAGCACTACTTGCCCTCGTTGCCTCCCACCAACAGCGTCTGTCCCAGCTGCAGCATCACAGCATACACCGGGTGAAACTCCTTCCCACCCCTCGCCCTCACACTCCCCACGTAATCATCTAATGACGCCTTGATGCCCTGCCACGCCTGCTGCTGCGAGTGCTGGTCCAGCCAGAGTGAGTAGCGTGCTGGGGGCTGCTGAATGCGTGTGAATGGGGAGAGCAGCTCAGGGGGCGCGCGGGAGAAGAGATGATGCAGGACAACGCTTGGAGGGAGATCCTGTGGGGGTTGTGAGGGGGGGTGGGAAAAGCACAAGAGGGGAAAGGAGTGAGGGGACTGACAAAACCAGGCAGAAGGAGCAAAAGCACAGGGGAAGTGGGTGTGCTGTGTGCAAAAGTTGCTTCTTCTGCCGCTGCGAGTGCTGGTCCAGCCAGAGGGAGTAGCGTGCTGGGGGCTGCTGGATGCGCGTGAACGGGGAGAGCAGCTCGGGGGGCGCGCGGGAGAAGAGGTGATGCAGGACAACGCTTGGAGGAAGGTCCTGCAGGGGAGGGAGAGGGAGAGGGAGAGGGAGAGGGAGAGGGAGAGGGGGGAACGGGAGTGAATGGACTGAGAAAACCTGGCGGAAGGAGCAAAAGCACAGGGGAAGTGGGTGCGTTGAGTGCAAAAGTTGCTCCTCCTCCTGCTGCGAGTGCTGGTCCAGCCAGAGGGAGTAGCGCGCTGGAGGCTGCTGAATGCGCGTGAACGGGGAGAGCAGCTCGGGGGGCGCGCGGGAGAAGAGGTGGTGCAGAACCACGCTTGGAGGGAGGTCCTGCGTGGGGGAGGGGGGAACGGGGATACGGGTGAGCAAGATGGGGGAATGGGAGTGAGTGGATTGACAAATCCCTGCAGAAGGGGCCAAAGCACACAGGAGAAGTGGGTGTATTGTGCGTATATGCTGCTCTGTGCGCTGCTCTGTGCGCTGCTCTGTGCAGTGGTCCAGCCAGAGGGAGTAGCGCGCTGGGGGCTGCTGGATGCGCGTGAATGGGGAGAGCAGCTCAGGGGGCGCGCGGGAGAAGAGGTGGTGCAGGACAACGCTTGGGGGGAGGTCCTGGGGGGGTGAGTAGGGGGGTCCGGGGGGAGAAGGGGGGAAATTATAGTGAGGCAACGAGCAGGTGAATGGGGAGAGCATCTCGGGGGGCGCGCGGGAGAAGAGGTGGTGAAGCACGACGCTTGGAGGGAGGTCCTGGGTAGAATGGGCGAGGGGAGACATGAGAGCAAGTGGGGAGAGCAGGAGTGAGTGAACAGTTTTGAGAGGTCTCAAAACAACCCATTTATCATAGAGCAGAACTGAGAGCACAGAGAAGGCTCGTTGGAATATTCAAAAGGTCCAGGAACAGAAGGGGCGTGAAGGTGCAGAGGGCACGGCAGGAGGCGCCGAAGGTGTGTGGGGGTGCGAGGAGCTGTCCCACTGCAAACTTCATTCCATATGTAGTATGCAATAAATACTTGAAGAGTTAAGTGATTATTGGAAAACACGAATGGTCTGGGCACGATCGACATTATAACTTCCAATGAAGAGTTCATTGGTCAAGACACCAATGGTCTAGAGTTCAAAGTCATCTGTTGGCTGCTTCATTTCAGCGAGTGTTTTTTGAGAATTCTCAAAAAACACTCATTGCCTTTATGTATTATCACGTTCATTAACCTCAACTGCTTGTGCGTCGTCCACCACCAGTTATGAAGTCATGGAGTCTGGTCAGCGGATGATGCCGAAGGAAGCAGTACTAGCAATTTTGAGCGGTAACTCCACCTCGCCCCACTGCGAACTCCACCTCGCAACCACCTTTGTTACAACCAATGGACGCACCTGCAGCAGCGAGCTGGTTGGAATCTTCTCCAGGTCCAGAAAGAGCAGCGGCCTGAATGCACGCAGGGCGCGGTAGGAGGCGCCGAGGACGTGTGTGGGGAAGAGATGCTGCCCCACGGCGAACCCCAGCTCGCCCATGTCCCTCGCCTTGGGAAAGAGGTGTAGACCAGCCCCATGGCAAACTCCACTATTAGGTGCACAGCATGGCTTGCAGTCACTCACTGCCACTGCAGACGCTTGTCACTTGTGATACCGTCAACATACTAACTGACCTGCAGTAGCGAGCTGGTGGGGATCTTCTCCAGGTCAACGAAGAGCAGCGGGCGGAAGGCGCGGAGAGCACGGTAGGAGGCGCCGAGGGCGTGTGTGGGGAAGAGATGCTGCCCCACTGCGAATTCCAGCTCGCCCATGTCCCTCGCCAGCCTCAACCGCCCCGCCTCTGAGAGTGGCCGTACCAGCGAGGCGTGGCGCACAAAGAAGAGCAGCGTGCGAGATGCGAGGCTGGGAGAGGGGGGTGAGAGGGAAGGGGAGGGAAGCAGGGGGCAGGGCAGTGGGGGGAGGTCATTCAAGTCTCTCAGAAGTAATTGAATAAAAAAAAAAAAAAAAAAAAAAAAACTTTTCAGAGAAGCACACACGAGAACCTAGCGTTGTGGGCGCACGAGCGAGGCGTGGCGCACAAAGAATAAGAGTGCGCGATGCCAGGCTGAGGAGGGGGGGGAGAGAATGGGAGAGGGAGAGCTTAGCGTTGTGTACGGGGCTGGGCTACGAGCTCCGACAAAGTCGCAGGGGGAAGGGCCGTGGATGTGGATGGGGTCAGAGCAGAGGTCCCCAGGTGGGTGGCAGCACCCGATCCAACAGAGATGCAGCGAATGTGGACGACGCAGGTGTGTTTTGAGTCGACTCAAAACACACATGGTGTCAGAGGCCCCCAGGTGGGTGGCAGCACCCGATCCAACAGAGATGCAGCGAATGTGGACGACGCAGGTGTGTTTTGAGTCGACTCGAAACACACATGGTGTCAGAGGCCCCCAGGTGGGTGGCAGCACCCGACAGAGATGCAGCGAATGTGGACGACGCAGAGACCATTCAAAGAAACGAGCTTACCGTTTGGCAAGGGACTGAGCAACAGGCTCAGAGACAGTCGCAGGGGGCAGGGCGGTGGAGGGAGAGAGAGGGCCTGATCCCGCAGCACCGGACAGAGATGCAGCGAATATGGACGAGGCCGGCGCTGCGGAGGAGGAGGAGGAGGTAGAGGAGGAGTCAGGGAGAAGAAGCTTGGAGAGGAACTCAGAGTGAAAGTGGGTGATGGCTCGAATGGTGTTCTCCATGTATGGCGAGCAGTTGTCCCCCGCTGACTCGTGCTGCTGATTCTGGTTGTGCTGGTTGTGCTTGTGGGGTGGTGTGGATCCCCCGCTGCTGCTGGTACGGTTTCTTGAGGCCGACCCAGGGGGTGGCGGGGTGGTGGAGGCGGGAGGGGCGTTGGGGTCGTCTGAAGAGAAGTCCTGCTGGTGGATTTGAAGAAGGCATGCCTCGATGCGATCCCGCATGGCCTGGGGAGGGGACGGGGGAGGGCATGGAGAAAGAAACAGGAAGAGAAGGAGGGTGAGAGGAGGGAGGAGCGTTGGGGTCGTCTGAAGAGCTGCTGGTGGATTTGCAGGAGACAGGTTTTGAGACGTCTCAAAACACTTCTGTTTACACGTCGTCTGAAGAGAAGAGTTGCTGGTGGATTTGCAGGAAACAGGCTTCGATGTGGTTGCGCATGACCTGGGAACGGGGAGGGCTCGGAGAAGAGAAAGGGGGAAGTGGAGGAGGAAGGGGTGTTGGGGTCGTCTGAGGAGAAGTCCTGCTGGTGAATTTGCAGCAGCCAGCCTTCAATGCGATCGCGCATGGCTTGGGGAGAGGGAGAGCGCAGGTGTGTGTGGAGGAAGAAACAAAGTGGGCAGGGGAATAGGGTGGGCAAAAGAGGGAGGGGCGTTGGGGTAGTCTGAGGAGAAGTCCTGCTGGTGGATTTAGAGGAGGCAGGCCTCGATGCGATCCCGCATGGCCTGACAAAAAGGGAAGGGCATGGAGAGAAGAACGGGAGCAGAAGCGAGGCGGTGGAGGAGGAAGGAGGGGCGTGATGCAGGCTACAAGGCACCAGCGGCAGAGAATGCAGAATGACGGTCCAAGATGCAAGATGTACGGCACGTGCAAACCAGGTGTGCTGTGCGCACCTTGAAACATGAGATGAGCACACCTTCAAGTTTCAACAGCGGAGCCACAGCATGAATAGTCGAGTTTTGAGTCGACTCAAAACTCGACTTCGAGTTTCAACAGCAGAGCCACAGCGTGCATAGCCACGCCCAGCACAGCACGGACGGACCCCACACCTGCCTCCATCACTGAGTCTGCTGCACGATGCAGGCTACAAGGCACAGCCATTTGTGTGTGCAGATGAGACATGGTGTAAGCCCACCTTGAAGAGCGGAGCCACAGCATGCATAGCCACGCCCAGCACAGCACGGACGGACCCCACACCCGCCTCCATCACGCAGTCTGATGGCCCATGGAAGATCATGTGCTGTGCTGTGTATGAAGCATCATTTGGACCCACCCACACACCTTGAAAAGTTTACTTTTGAGTCGACTCAAAAGTCGAACGAGTCTGATGGCCCATGGAAGTTGATGTGCTGTGTATGAAGCATCGTATGGACCCACGCACCTTGAAGAGCGGAGCAACAGCATCCATGGCCACCCCGTGCACAGACTCCACACCCGCCTCCATCACGCAGTCTGCCTCCTCTGGAAGGCGGGCGAGTAGTTTTGAGACGTCTCAAAACGAGTAGGTGCACGCAGTGTGCGTGCACCGTCCCCAGCCAGCAGAACACACAGCAGAAGTACCCCAGCAGGAGCACCCCAGCAGGAGCACCCAAGCAGGAGATGAACCCACACACCTTGAAGAGGGGAGCGACAGCATCCATAGCCACGCCATGCACGGACCCCACACCCGCCTCCATCACGGAGTCTGCCTCCTCTGGCAGGCGGGCCAGCAGCTGCATGCAGCGTGTGTGCACTGCTCCCAGCAGCACGCACAGGGAGATGTTGCGCTGCTGCGCTGGCGAGCAGGGGGCGAGCACTTGGCGGGACTCTGGGCCTGTAGCGACCTGGAGAGGATGGGGGGAAAGGAAGGGGGTGGGACAGGGGTGAAGGATGTAGTGAGGAGGTGTATGCAGCGCGCGTGCACTGCCCCCAGCAGCACGCACAGGGCGATGTTGCGCTGCTGCGCTGGCGAGCAGGGGGCCAGGACCTGGCGTGACTCTGGGCCTGTAGCCACCTGGAGGGTGTAGGGGAGGGGAAAAGGGGAGAATAGTGAGCAGGTGCATGCAGCGTGTGTGCACCGCTCCCAGCAGCACGCACAGGGAGATGTTGCGCTGCTGCGCTGGCGAGCAGGGGGCGAGCACTTGGCGGGATCCAGGGCCTGTTGCAACCTGCAGAGGACAGGGGGAGACGAGGAGAGGGAGCGAGAAGTGAGGAGGTGCATGCAGCGCACTGCCAGCAGCTGCAGCGCCTTGCCTGCATTCGCCAGCTCAAGCCTCAAAACCTAGCATAGGCGCAAGAAACGTACCTAGTATCTCCCACACAAGCACCCACCCACACACCCATGCGGCGGCGCACGCCTGGTACCAGGTACACCAGGTACCACCCGCATGCACCCAGTGCGCCTCAAAACCTAGCATAGGCGCAAGAATCGTACCTAGTATCTCCCACACAAGCACCCACCCACCCACACACCCATGCGGCGGCGCACGCCTGGTACCAGGTACACCAGGTACCACCCGCATGCACCCAGTGCGCCTCAAAACCTAGCATAGGCGCAAGAATCGTACCTAGTATCTCCCACACAAGCACCCACCCGCACACCCACCCATCCCACTCACCTGGTATTCACAGCGTTCCGCCAGCAGTTGAAGCGCCTTGCCCGCATTCGCCAGCACGAGCCTCAGCAGCCCCTGGAATGGTTATGCCTCACACATCATGACACACCACCACACATCCCACCTGGTATTCACATCGCTCGGCCAGCAGTTGAAGCGCCTTGCCCGCATTCGCCAGCACGAGCCTCAGCAGCCGGCCATTCCCCTTCACCGCCTCTACCTCCTCCTCCATCCTCGTTATAAGCCTCACCCCCGCCTCCGGCCCCGGCACACCTCCCCTCCCGCCCCCTGCGGCTGGCATCATGGTGTTGATCGGGTCGGTCATTCTAGAGAGCGAGAGGGCCAGATAGGCTGCCTGAAACGGCTCCAAAGCAGCCATCATCTGCGCGCGATGCTCCACAGAAATAACCGCCGGAGTGCCGCCATTGGCCCACGAACCTGCCACAGCACCGCCTCCAACCGCTCCCAACCCAAACCCTCCTCCTCCCGCTCCTCCCGCTCCTCCTCCACCAGCTCCGCCTCCCCCTCCCCCCAGCACACGCACGTCTGTATCGGCATGCAGGCGGTCCAGGAAGGATTCTAGGGAGGTGAGGAGGCGGGGGTAGGCAGAGACGAAGGTCTCCTTGACAAAGGAGGAGGCGGTGAACGTGGCTCGTAGCTGCGAGGAGAAGGCTCGGAGTAAGGCTTCCCACACTCGCTCTGTTGGTAGTGCGTCTCCTGACTGGAGGCACATGGGGGTGGGCGGTGGGGAAGAGGGTGAGCATGCGGAGCTTCCGCCTGCGGGCGGTCCAGGAAGGATTCTAGGGAGGCGAGGAGGCGGGGGTAGGCGGAGACGAAGGTCTCTTTGACGAAGGAGGAGGCGGTGAACGTGGCTCGTAGCTGCGAGGAGAAGGCCCGGAGTAAGGCCTCCCACACCCGCTCTGTCGGCAGGGCGTCCCCTGCCTGGCAAGGAGAGGGTGCGGAAGGGGGATATAGAGAAAACCAGGAGGGTCAAACAAGGCTTGACGGGTGGCAAAACGAGTGGCTCGCAGCTGCGAGAGCAAGCCTATCAAGCCCCTGTCTGTCGCTATCCATTCCATTCTGCACACAAGCCCCATGCCTCCTCCCCCACCTGCAGCATGTGATCCAGGAACACCATATGTGAGATGAAGTCTCGCTTCTTTTGATAGCCCCTACCAATTCAGTACCCACTTCCACTAGCCAAGCCAACCCCCTCCCACACCCCCTCCACTCCCTCCCTCCCCCCTCCCCCACCCCCCACCTGCAACACGTGGTCCAGGAACACCACATGTGAAATCGGATCTCTTTTGAGGCGCCTCAAAAGTCATGTGAAATCGGATCTCTTTTGAGGCGCCTCAAAAGTCATGTGAAATCGGATCTCTTTTGAGGCGCCTCAAAAGTCATGTGAAATCGGATCTCTTTTGAGGCGCCTCAAAAGTCATGTGAAATCGGATCTCTTTTGAGGCGCCTCAAAAGTCATGTGAAATCGGATCTCTTTTGAGGCGCCTCAAAAGTCATGTGAAATCGGATCTCTTTTGAGGCGCCTCAAAAGTCATGTGAAATCGGATCTCTTTTGAGGCGCCTCAAAAGTCATGTGAAATCGGTTCTCACATCTTGTAGCCCGTGCCTGCCAATTTTTCATACAAGCCCACCCCTCCCCCTTTCCTCTAACCACCAACACCCCACCCCCCATCTGCAACACGTGGTCCAGGAACACCACATGTGAATCAGATCACCCTCCCTCCCCCCTCCACTCACTTCTTTTAGCCCAGGCCTGCAACTTTTTCATACAAGCCCACCCCTCCCCCTTTCCTCTAACCACCACCCCCCCTCCCCCGACCTGCAACACGTGGTCCAGGAACACGACGTGGGAGATCGGATCTCGCTTCTTCGCCATCACTCGCTGCAGGTGCCACGTCAGCACCATAACACGCGCCAGCTCATCCAGGCATCCAGTCAGCCGCTGCCACAGCGCCTCCCGGGCTCTGGGGGCGCCACCCATTGGAGGAGTGCCGCTGCGCATGGCCCCCCCTGGGAGAGCAAGGGGGACAGGCAGGGGGGACAGGCAGGGGAGAACGGGAAAGGGTGAACTCAGGAACGGGAGCAGATGAGCTTCGAACCAGCTCAGTTACTCAGCCGCCGCTGCCACAGGGCCTCCCAGGCTCTAGGTACGCCGCGCCGCCCATTGGAGGTGTACCGCTGCACATGGCTCCTCCTGGGAATGGGAGGAAGAGAGAGACCCAATGGGGAAAGGCGGGGTAGTGAGAGAGGTGCAGATGGCAGCGGGGGACCATTGTGGGCGAGGCGATGAACGAACTATAACGTCAAATCAAGTTCCAATGCGCACCAGGTTAGCACTGCAAGCTTGTCTCGAGTTCAAGAAACGAATTCAGATAGCAAGGAGGGCGTACGGACGGACTATACGCATACCTGGTCCGCCCACGGAGCCACCCAAGCCTCCTCCACCTCCTGATGCTCCCATGCTCGCACTGATAGCCTGCTTGCCGGGAGAACAACAGTGAGGGGTAGTGAGGGGTGAGTGAGGCAACAACGAGTGCAGAGACATGAGAGGGAGACAGGCATGTACGTGCGAGAAGGGTGCAGAAACGATAACTTGCGACTTCTATGAAGGGAAGCCACAACTGGCAGGGCACACAAAAAAGAGTCCATGGCCGCTGCTTGCATAGCCTGCCCCTTGTGCTTCGAGGGCGGCTGAAGCCCCTTGTGCTTCGAGGGCGTCAGGAACGTCCCATACACCTTCCACGCCCAAGAATAGCCAAGCAAAGCACCTTCGATGTGAAATCAATAAGGAAAGCCCATACCTTCATGTCGAGCCCTGTGGCGACGGCTCGCATGGCCTGCCCCTTGTGCTTCGCTACCAGCTGATCCACCGTCTGCCTCAGCTCCCCCATGTTGAAAAACACCTGAGATAATGCGACAACACACACACACACACACACACACACACACACACACACACACACACACACACACACACATACGCAAAAAAAAAGGGAGGGGAGGGAGGAGAGGAAGGAGAGATGAAAAAGGAGGAGAGAGTTGTTTTGAGCTTACATCACTTTCAAGGTTTCAAATCATGAAAAACTAATTAAGAGAAGTGGACGAACGGGCGGGTTCCTTTAATCCCCTTCGACAACAAACCCCCTCTCCCCTTTCGTCGCCCTTCATTTCCGTTTCAACCCCCTTTCTGAAACTCTCTCCTCTCACCTGCAGCATAGAGGTGATGGGCCCATCACCTCTCATCGCCTCTATGCTGGGTGATGGGTGAGAGGCGATGGGCCCATCACCTCTCATTGCCTCTAAGCCCATCATGCTCCTGACTTCAACCTAACCCATCGCCTCTATGCTCCCAATCCCTATTCCTCTCCTCTCCACTCCCCCCATTTCTGTCCAGCTCCCCTGTCCTTTCTCCTTCACCGAAAGCCCTAACTCTCTCCCCTCACCTGCAGCAAGCTCTCCCACTTCAGCCTGGTTCATCGCCTCCATGCCTCCTTCCTGCGCCTTCATAGCCTCTCTCCGTATAGCCTGTCCCGCCTCCACCACCCACTCCTGTTGTGCCTCCACCACCCACTTTTTTTAGTCGACTCTTGAGTTGATTTTTGTAGTCGACTCAAAACCCCCCTCAGCTGCGTCTCCAACACCCACTCACATGTGCAACCCTCTCACCGGCAGCACCCCTCACCTGCAGCACGCTCCCCACTTCAGCTTGGTTCATCGCCTCCATGCCTCCCTCCAGCGCCCTCATCGCCTCTCTCCTGAAAGTCTGCCCCTTATTGACCCCTACTGGCCCTCACTGCCCCTCACTGCCCCACCGTTCCCCACCCATCCCAACCAAATTCTTACCTGCAGCACCCCTCACCTGCAGCACGCTGCCCACTTCAGCCTGGTTCATCGCCTCCATGGCCCCCTCCAGCGCCCGCATCGCCTCTCTCCTGATAGCCTACCCCTTGTTGCCCCGCATTGCCCCTCATTGCCCCAAGAACCCCCCAACTCAAACACTCATTCCCGCAGCACCTCTCACCTGCAGCACGCTCCCCACTTCAGCCTGGTTCATCGCCTCCATGCCTCCTTCCAACGCCTTCATCGCCTCTCTCCGTATAGCCTGCCCTGCCTCCGCCACCCACTCGTGCTGTGCCTCCACCACATGCACCCCCCCCAGCTGCGCCTCCCTGTGCACCGCCCCCACCTCCTGCCACACCTGCCCCGCCTTGCTCAGCTCCGCCTTCTCAACGCCTGCAGCTAAATGCTCCCGCAGCTTGCGCACCTGAGGTGGGGAGAGGAGAGGATTGAGGGGGAATGGGGACATCTGAGTCCCCACGTCCTGCCACACCTGCCCCGCCTTCCCCAGCTCCGCCTTCTCTACCCCCCCATTCAGGTGCTCCTGCAGCTTGCGCACCTGAGGAGGGAGATACATGGGGCCGGGGGAGATTAAAGAAGAGGGTGGGGGGGGTGGTTAGGGGGTTTTGAGACATCTCCGCCCCACCTCCCGCCACACCTGCCCTGCCTTCCCCAGCTCCGCCTTCTCTACCCCCGCACCCAGGTGCTCCCTCAGCTTGTGCACCTGGGGGGGAAAGGAGAGGGTGGGGGAGGGATGGGGGGATTTGAGACGTCTCCTGCCACACCTGCCCCGCCTTCCCCAGCTCCGCCTTCTCCACCCCAACATTCAGGTGCTCCCACAGCTTGCGCACCTGGGGAAAAGGTGGAGGGGGAGGGGGATTTGCGGAGAATCAGGTGAAGGGGCAAACAAGGAGGGATGGTGGTGTAAGGATTGGGGGAGTTTTGAGGCGCCTCAGAACACACCTACACCGCCCCCCCCCCTCAAAACACACCTCAGAGGCGCCTCAGAACACACCTACACCGCCTGCCCCTGCCTCTGCCACCCACTCGTGCTGTGCCTCTACACATGCATGCACCCCCCCCCAGTTGCGCCTCCCTATGCACCTACCTACCTGCCAAGAAGTTCCATCTGCTTCGCAGCAGAAGATTTGCACCAACTGGAGCATTTCCGCCCAGCTCTCCTTGAATCTCCTTCATTCCCCTTGAATTTCATCAACCGAAATTGACTACCCTTGACTCCCCTTGTGATAGCCTCGATCCAACAGCTTGCACTTTTCGTGGTCTCCACTCACAACAACCAGGCAGTTAATATCCACAACCCCCTTGTAATGTAATTTATCTCCACTCATCAGTTTGAGGTATTGAATGGCGGATCTCAGCAGCTCCATGGTGACGAAAAGGGCGGCCAGCTGACTTGTCGAGGTGACATTTGAGTCAACTATTGACTCTATTGTACTCGATTGTGGGACTTCTATATCGACTCAAAGCTCACCAGCTTGACTTGAGGTACAAAGTGACGGCTCTCAGCAGCTTGACTTGAGGTACAAAGTGACGGCTCTCAGCAGCTCCATGGTGTCGTAGAGCGCTCTGAGGCGCCTCAAATCAAAGTCTTCTCCGCTCACCTTGAAGTAGTTAAATTCCTACTCACCAGTTTGAGGTACTTGATCACAGCTCGCAGCAGTTCCATGGTGTCGTACAGAGCTGCCAGCTGACGTGTCTTCACCTGAATGGCCCGATACGGGTCTGCTATCTCTGCCCGCACGCGCTGAGGGTGGGGAGACAAAGAGCCCAAGCGAATTGTTTAGCGATTCGGTTAATAAATTCTGTTAGAAATCATATACATATTCTCAAGGCACAAGAGTGAGTGATAACAGAATTCCCCCTCCCTCTCCTCTCAGGATTCCCCCTCCTCTCCTCTCAGAAATCCCCGTCCTCTCCCTTGCACGATCTTGCTCATGGTCCTCTTCCATCCTTCACTCACTCATGCATTCATACGTGTTTTGAGTCGACTCAAAACACGCCTCGATCTCGCTCATGGTCCTCTTCCATCCTTCACTCACTCATGCATTCATACGTGTTTTGAGTTGACTCAAAACACACCTCGATCTCGCTCATGGTCCTCTTCCTTCCTTCACTCACTCATGCATTCATACACAGAAACGCACCTGGACGGAGGCTAGTAACGAGTCGACTCCAGCGCGCACCACAGACAGCACGCCCTCTGTGTCTTTTAACGAGGATAGCTGCTGCAGCAGGTCGTCATGATGCGTTGCCACCTCAGCCTGCACCTGCGCCTGCAGCGCAGATATCACCTCCCCCAGTTGAGCCGTGGTCAGCACAGATGAGCCTTCCTTTCCTCCTGCTGCCATGCTGTGTGCTAGGGCCTATAAGTGGGAAAGGGTAACGGGAAACGTAAGTTGGAGGAAAGGGGGAAGGTAGAAGGAAGTTGGGAAACAGCAGCTTATATATCACCTCCCCCAGTTGTACTGCTGTGAGCAAAGAATGTCAGGGGAGAGAAGGCGGAAAAGGAGAGATCATGAAGAAGATATCGCCGGCCTGAGTTGATCTGAACACATAAGAGCCTTCATCGTCAGAGCACATAAGATATCCCCCTCCTTAGATATTGTGCATCGTAAAGGCCTGTGGTGGTGTGATGTGATGGAGATTTCATGACATGTGGAAAGAATCACAAGTTTGGCTCTCAACCAATCACAATGTGCAGCCAAACGATCGTCCGCTACTATGCTCTCTGGAGATGTTGCGCAATCAAGAGGCGACTTGCAGTGCGTACTATCAATAACGAATCCACCTGCAGTGTACGAATGATTAGGAAGCACCCACCCGTTGAGACAACCGTGGCGCATAGACGTCTTTAAAGCAGCTCTTCAAACGTCTACATGCCGAAGCTGACAAACATCTACCTCTAAACCGGTTCTTCGAACGTTTTCAAACCGTACTGATGCATCTGCCTTATTTTCATATCTTCATGCGTCTACAAACGGTAACTAACAAGCACCTGCGCTTTTCTACAGTTGGCCTGCACGATGTCCTGAAGTTGCTCCGACCGCGTTTTGAGTCGACTCAGAAACAGGCTCAACATCCATACTAATTCCTGCTGCTGTTGTCACACGAACCTGCAATGCGTCGATGTCTTTAAGTTGCTCCAGCTGACGTGCCAGCTCATCGTTGCGCAAGACCCCCCCTTCCCGCGGGGAATGCGGAGACGCTTCCTCCTGCGCCTGCACGTTCCGCAATACCCCCTTTGCGGAGGCCATTGCGGCCGAACTTGCCGTGAAATGCGGACAGGCTACAAGGAGGATGAACAGACAACTGATCTGGCGGTTTGCGCGAGTCAGCTGTCTACAACATCAAGGTATTTCCGCCGGTCCCACTCTTTGGATATGACGACGTTCCGCAGAATACGGAATCCAGAAAACCAGTACGTCAGTAGTTCCGCTCAGGAGAAGCGTAGAAATGTGTCGGTGCCAGATCAACTGCAAGAATTCCGGAAAAACACACTCACAGGTGCTTCAATACAGCACCATGTAATGTGCGTGCGCACTTCATTTCTACAGCCTTAGTTTTCACCAGTTTTCATAATTTATCGCTTAACAAGATCACAAATGTTCCAAGGCCCCTTCTCTGACTAAAATGCGTGTCATGCCCTACGCGGTATCATGAAAAATCAACTTCCCTACAAATCATAATATAAAATAAACACAATAATTTTGTTTACCATCCTTCAGGTTCCCGCATCTGCATACTGTTAAGTCAACCTGTTTCTTTGTGCCCGCTTTTTAGCATTAGGTGAGAGACATTGTTTGCTTTCAGGCTTTCAAACATTTAATTGTAATGCCCTTTATTGATACGTGTCTTAGTTCTGCGCTATGTAAGGAAAATCCATTTTCCTTACTTCGCATCCCTGCTCAACGCGTACATCACTGTAGCACCTCAGTCAGCACCGTTACCACTCGCGATCCTCGCATCTACAATCATCCCGCCATCTTCGCACATTGCACCCCGACCTCACGGCTCGGCTGGTAACCCGCGCTCCGGGCCTCCGCTTCGACACTTTCCCAACCTCAGTCCCAGGCTCGTCGCACGACAACCACAGTCCATTACCGTTACCACTGTAGTTTCGCTATATATTCTTCGCTCATGCCTTTGCTCATTGGATTCTTGCTTCGATAGTGCAATTCTCGTTCGTTCACTCAATTGCACTCGTAACACGCTACAAGATCCTACGTCTTTTGCGGGTTGGTACTAGCATCGTGAAAGCCTCGGGTTTGCACATTGAATTTGTTACGAGTGCAATTGAGTGAACGAACGAGAATTGCACTATCGAAGCAAAGAGTACAATGAGCGAAGGCATGAGCGAAGGATTATATAGCGAAACAATAGTGGTAACGGTAATGGACTGTGGTTGTCGCGCGACGAGCCTGGGGCTGAGGTTGGGAAAGTGTCGAAGCGTAGGCCCGGAGCGCGGGTTACCAGCCGAGCCGTGAGGTCGGGATGCGATGTGCGAAGAGGGCGGGATAATGAATGATGCGATGGTCGTGAGTGGTAACGGTGCTGACTGAGGTGCTACAGTGGCGTACGCGTTGAGCAGGGACGCGAAGTAAGGAAAAGGGAATTTCCTTACACTACCCCCCCTCCCCAAGGAGGCCCCTCTTACGAGAGCGCATGGATGTCGCGGAAATTTCGGCTTCGCAGATACTCGGGGAAGACAGGGTGGTTCTCAATTTTATCCAGGGGGACCCAGTTGTCTTCTGTGGGCGTTCGGTCCTTCCAGCGAATTAGGAACTCTATCCTTCGGGCTCCCCGAGGGTCGCGGACTCGGTGGCTGAGGATTTTCTCAGGGGTGATGAGTGGTTCGGTTGGGGGACGTGTCATGCTAGCTGGGCGATTTCGTGGCAGTTGGCTCGTGGATGGGATGTAAGGGCGAAGTAGGCTGACGTGGAATGACGGGCTGACGTACCAGTCAGCAGGGAGGAGGAGGTGGGCGGTGACGGGTGTGATCATGTGGCTGATGCGGAATGGCCCACAATACCGGGGGCGAAGTTTTGGAGTGATGGGCAGGCGAAGATTCTGAGTGTCGAGTAATACGAGGTCGTCGGGCTGATAAGTAACGGGTCTGCGATGTCGATCGGCGTTACGTTTAGCGATGATGTTTGATTTTTTGATTGCTTCTGCTGCCCTGGTCCGTGCTGCTTGCAGAATCTCGGCGAACTGTTGTGCTCGTGGGACTGGGTTGTCGGGATTCGGTGTCATGGGTACTGTTGGGTCCTGTCCGTAATTCAAATAAAACGGCGACTGTTGCGTCGTGGCTGATGGTGCGTTATTGTATGCGAACTCGATGAGTGGCAGCTGCTGTTCCCACGTATTCGGGTCGTCGCACGTGGCTCGAATCAGCTGCTCCATGGTCTGATTTGTCCGTTCCGTCTGTCCGTCGGTTTCGGGGTGATAGGATGAACTGAACTGTAAGCGCGTGCCGAACTGCTGCCACAGGTTCCGCCAGAAGTTGCTGGTAAATTTCGTGTCCCTGTCGCTGATGATCGACGCGGGTATCCCGTGCAGTCGTACGACGGTGGCGATGAATAGTCGGGCGGTTTCTTCGGCTCTGATGGATTTCCTGCATGCTGCGAAATGAGCCATTTTCGTTAGTCGATCGACGACGACCAGGATCGCGTCATTCCCACTCGCCCCAGCTGGTAACCCCGTGACGAAGTCCATCGTCACCTGCTGCCAAGCACGCTCTGGAGGCGGGATGGGTTGTAATTGCCCCGCTGGTCGCTTCCTGCTTGACTTCATGAGCTGGCAAGTGGGACACGATGCCACGTGTCGTTGCACATCGGTCAACATTTCTGGCCAGTAGTAGTACCGCTGCAGCTGCTGCCGTGTTTTTTCTACCCCGAAATGTCCCGAGGTAACTCTGTTGTGTGCTTCCTGTAACAGTAGTTCCCACAGTAGCGTGTATCCCGGTACCCAGATGCGGTCGGTTCCAGTTTTTACGTAATAGACTCATTTTGCCGCTGCGAATTGCTGTGAGTTGCCTCCTGTAAAGAACGGGTCTGTTTGATATCCGTGGGTAAATAGGCCGGTAAGCAGTGGGCTGGTCTGGGCGAGTAGTATCGCGTGGATCTGGGCAGTGGGGCGGGTCAGTGCGTCGGCGATATTCGATGCTCCTTTTTTGTATGTGACCGTATAGTGAAAATTCGACTCGAGGAAATCGAGCCATCGAATCTGTCGTGGGTTGAGGTGGGGCTGTGCGCGGAGGTACTGTAGAGATCGGTGGTCTGTCCGTACTGTCACGTCTGCGCCAGTCAAGTAGCAGCGCCAAACTTTGAATGCATGCACGATCGCGAGCATTTCGCGGTCGTGTATCGGGTAATTTCGCTCAGGCGGATGTAGTTTGCGTGATTCGTAGGCGATGGGTTGGAGGCCGTTGCCGAAGTCCTGTAACAGTACAGCTCCGATGGCGATGTCACTTGCGTCGGTAACCACTTCGAAAGGGCGGTGGGGATCAGCGATACGTAGAACGGGTGGTGAACAGAGGACGTTTTTTAGGGCAGAGAAGGCAGCATGCTCTTTCTCCCCCCACGTAAAAGCGACCCCCTTACGCAGTAAATCAGTTAGTGGGGCTGTTAAACGTGCCATGTCGGGCACGAACCGTCGAACGTAATTAACAAACCCTAAAAAACTCTGCAGTTCCGTGATGTTCGTCGGGGGGCGCCATGCTTTTACCGTATCCAGCTTCTTTGGGTCGATCTCAACCCCAGCCTCGGAAATGACGTGACCTAAAAACTCTAGCCTATCCCTAAAAAACTCGCACTTGGAGCCCTTGGTGAGCAGCCGATGTTCCTCTAAAACCTTAAAAACTGCTTCAAGATCTGCTAAGTGTTGCTGCTTATCCCGACTGTAAACGAGGATATCGTCGAGGTAAACGATCGCGCATTTATCTAAAAGTGGTCTAAACGCCTCGTTCATGGTCATCTGAAAAGTCGCAGGCGCGTTCGTCAACCCGAAAGGCATTACTGTATACTCGAATGACCCGTACCTAGTCCTAAATGCTGTTTTTGCGCAGTCCGATGGTTCGACCCGAATCTGATGGTAACCTCCCCGTAAATCTATTTTCGAAAAGACACGTGCTGTTCGCAGTTGGTCAATCAGTTCGTCGGCGCGGGGGATGGGGTATCGCGATTTGACTGTTACTCGGTTAAGCGCTCGGTAGTCGATGCACATGCGAAAACCTCCGTCTTTTTTCGGTGTGAACAGTATGGGTGCGGCGAACGGTGACGAGCTTGGTCGAATAAACTGCTTCTCTAACAGGTAATCTAACTGCTTCCTTAACTCGTCGAGCTCGGGCTGTGTCAGTCGAAATTGCCGTTGTACTGTTGGCTGTGCCCCCGGTTCTAGCTCGATCCTATGGTCGTGCGCTCGCTGAGGTGGCAGTCCCTGTGGTAAATCATCCGGAAATATCCCCGGGAACCGTTTCAGTAGTGCCTGTAATTCGGTCGGTACGGCTGCTAGCAGTTTCTTTAAATCATTCTGCTGCTCGTCTTTTTCTACCACTGCGATATCCACTGCGTACACGTCAGCTCCAGCGGCGACAGCCCGTTTCATCGTGATGGCGTTGACCTGGACTGTCGAAGATTCGGGTGGCCGCCAGCGAGGTAGGACGACCCAGTTACCGCTACTTCGCACTGTGCAGCTCCCCGTCGTCCAGTCGATCCGTGGGTTGTACCGTCGCAACCAATCACGTCCCAGTAAAATGTCGTGCCCATCCAGCGTCGTTGCGAGCATTTCCTGTGTAAACCCGAAGTTTCCCCCGCAGCGGACTTTTACTCGCTCCACTTTTTCTCGTATGGCCAATGGCGTGCCGTCGACTAAGCGTGCATCTATCTCAGGTAAACATCGGTTAAGTATTAACTGTAATCTCCGTGCGGTTGCAGTATTAACTAAGCTGTGACTTGCCCCTCCGTCAATGAAGATTTTCACTGCTGCTCCCTGTATTTTCCCGTAGATCAGTACCGGGCAATCCGTCGCTGTACCCTCCTTATTCATCCGAGCCCGATCGATGGCGTGAATCGGTACTGTGACTCGGTGAGGGTCGGTGTGGTTGGGCGAGCAAGCAGTCTCGTCAGTAGTTGGCCCAACTTCTACTGACTGCTGGCGTTTCCCTGCCTCCGAGACTCCTTCCCTTGCTCTGCTCCTCGACGCCTCAGCTCCTCTGGACATTCGCTTTTGCGATGGCCCGGCCGGTTGCAAGCAAAGC